CGCTCACAGCTGAGCAAGATAAGATCGCAGCGGAAGATAAACTGGCCAGGTCAAGGCCGGACCAGTTCCATGTCATGCGACGGACCCGGCACCGCAACGGTCGTACTCGGCGGCAATAAGGTTACCAAAAGGGGCAGATCAAGTACTGATGCCAGGTAACAAGGGCTCAGTCGTTGCCTTTTATCCATCAGAAACAGAGGGACCGATTAAGACCGCAGAAGATACGAAAGTAGAAGTGAATAGGCCATTAACCAAAGTCGGAAACGCAGGTGTTGTGGTCCAGACCACGCCCCAGGAAGCAGCAGAGAAATTGAAGACTTCGGCCCCTCCATCATTGAGGGTGGCTGAGCCCAGGCAGCGCTTGCCCCTGGTTGCTCTGAGAGGTTTTGAAGAAGACCCTAAGAATGAGGAAATTATAAGCGGCCTCTACGAACAGAATGGCGCGAACAGAACTACACCTGGACATTGTTCTTGTAGAGGAACAGTACTCCCAGGCTGCGGGGGTCGACCAAATGGGTAGCCACCCGTGGGCGGGCATCTATCTGGCTGACCCGACAATGGGGGTAGCTGTGTTGAACCATTTTAGCAACGAATTTTGTGTGGTGTGCCACGTTAACCGATGGCACCTCTATGTGGTGTCAGCGTACTTCATGTTTCTGACCCCATCGATGACCACCTGCAGAAGGGTCATCATCAGCCTCGCCGCCAATGCGCACTCGCCACTTTGGCATTGTGACCGACGGCACTATGTGGGAAAAGGACAAAATGTCACACACCGAAGGCAGCAGACGGAAGAATTTATATTTTCACAGACGCTAACGTTAGTAAACTAGCCTGACCAACCCTACATTTACTCTGAGCCTGGCGGGGAATCCAATGTGGACCTCACATTAACCACGTTGCTGAGTGACGAGTGCGCGCGGGTGTCTACGCCAGCGACCACAATTTAATTACATATTACCTGCGCGCGTGGTCGGCCACTACCAGCAGGCCGACCACGCTTGCAGTTAGGTCCCCCCCCCTCCCGTTTTCGTAACCGAGGGGTGGGTTGGGACAGGTTCCGGGCGATTGTCAAGTTACGAATGGCATGGCTGCACGTGGAAAAACCCGCGGCTCTCCTCAGGAGTTCTCAGGGGTCGTAATCCTAAGTAAAAGGAAGGCCTAGGGGAGCGTCGTCCTAGGGGGTCGGGCTTTTCATAATGTGCGTGCGAGATACAGGAAGATGATGGTGGAGGCGCATCAATCGCAGCACATAAAGGTCGCCAACTCTGGCAAAGAGGACCCTTGGGGCCTGTCATACAGGTTAGCCAGCGGGAGGGTGCGTCCGTCTAAAAATGTGATCAACGGGATCACCTTTGCAGGTGGGCACCCGGACAGACTGGAAGCGGCGATGCACGACTTAATGTCTGCGCTTTGTTCGGATGACATTCTTGATCGCGAAATGCCTTATAACCAGCAGGTCCGTTTACTCACGGCGTTTATGCCGTCTGGTAGGGCTGCGTCTCCGTTCACAGTTGGGGATCTGGGAAGTATGGTCAAAGAAGGTTTTGCCTAACACGGCTCCGGGACTCGATGGGGTAAGTGCGAGAATAGTTAGGAATGTATGGATGGCAGCACCAAGGGAATTAGAAAGAAAGAAAAAGAAAGAAAGGTTTATTCTCCAAAATGACGCCATCACAGATAACATAAAAAAGAAACACATAATTTACAAATAATATTGGCTATACAATACAAATTACAATATACTACATATTACAAACTATACAATACCAATACTCATATGTGTCAAGGCGTCATCTGGGAATAGGAGCACACTCAGCATAATGCCATGAATTTTTTTTTTCTCTCCATGGCGCTGATTTTCAATGTGTCCAACCAGTGACTTACCGAAATCAGTGCTATACGTATACTCATGACAGAATTATGCACAACAAGGGGGAAAGAAACAGTAACTATCTTAAGTGAGAGGGAGAGAGTAGAGTTCAAGGTCGAATGCCACTTCGACACAGCACGTCCCGTTTATGTTGCTTTCAGACGCTCTTAGAAGGGCTATACGAACACTACAAAAGGGGAGATTATTAAAATACTATAAAGGGCTATATACTACAAAAGGGAAATTATTAAAATACTATAAAGTGCTATATAATAAAATGACCAGATAATTTGTAAAAAAAAAAATTAGGGCGGTGTATGCTAAGTGTATAGTAGAGGGAGTTTCCCCAAGGTATGGAAGGACGGAAGACTGATTGTCATTCTCAAGGGTAATGACAAACCGCTTACCGACGCCAAGGCATACCGTCCGATAACGCTCCTCCCTGTTTTGGGAAAATTACTAGAACGAGTAATGCTAAGATGTGCTCCTCTGATTAGTCGTGGGATATCTGAATACCAGCATGGATTTTCTCCGGGGCGATCTACGGTAACAACGCTGCATGTCTTGCTCAGCACGGCAAGGTATTCTCGGACATGCTACGTGCAAACAATCTTTTTGAATATCTCCAGCGCTTTTGACAACGCCTGGTGGTCGATGATGATGGTCAAAGCGAAACGAGGTGGTTGTCCATCCAACATTTACAAAATACTGGTGGACTACTTCACCTCCAGACGTGTGGGCCTCTTCATCGGCAACCGGATGGAGTAGAACGTCGACCATAGAATGTCCTCAAGGCTCCGTGCTGGTTCCTACACTGTGGAACATATTGATGAATGACCTACTCCGACTCCCTCTGCCTGCGGAAGTAGCCATGACTGCCTATGCTGACGATGCCACGATTCTTATTGAATCGCTTACCAGAGCGGGCATCGAATCTAGGGCCAGAGTCACTCTGGGCCTTGTACGGGAGTGGGGGCTAAGGAATCGACTGGAGTTTGCCTCCTCAAAGTTAACCACCATGACTGTTGGAGGGAAACTTCAGCCCCCCCCCCCCCCCCCGTTATTAAACTTAGTGGAGAATCTATCAAGACTGTGACCAATGCTAAGGTGCTAGGCATGGTTGTGACCTCGGGACTATATTTTGTGCAACACGCGTCCGATATCTCTGAATGAGCAAACAAGGGATTCGGTAAAATGACTCGTGTATCGACATCATCATGGGGTATCCGATACCAGAGCTTAAAAATTATCTATAAAGGACTATTTGTATCCACGCTTACGGACGCGGCAGAGTGCTGGTACAAGCGTGCGAACATGTACACAGTTCTTAGTGCACTACTGAGATCGCAGCGAACCGCCCTTATATTATTAACTAAGGCATACCGATCCACTAGCACGGCGGCCTTACCGGTGCTGGTTGGTGTTCTCCCTGCTGATCTGGAGGCCATCCGTGCTGGTAGGATGGGTATAGCACGTACAACCGGGCCCAAAGAGGAGTTGAACAGACGGAAGCGCGAAATTTGGACTTAGCTGATCGATGTTTGGCAGGATCGATGGTGAATGACTTGAAAGGACGCGAGCTCTGTCGATTTTTCTCAGAGGTGGCGTTGAGACTCAAGTATACGTGGGTCTCACAGGACTATCAAACCTCTCAAATTGTCACCGGACATGGATGCTTTCGGAGGAGACTGAGTGAAATGCGACTGTGTGAAACAAGTATGTGTGAGTGTGCTGCGATAGAGGAGGACGTTCACCATGTTCTATGGGAATGTTCTCTGTATGACGATCTAAGAGCGAAAATGATGGATGGACTAGTTCGTCCGGTTCATGGACCGATTTATTATTCTAGGGGCTAACTACGGGCTGTTGCGCGAGTTTGCGCATAGATGGCATGACCGCAGGAGAAGGCAAGAAAGAATAATGGCAGAAAGGCCTCACGACGTAGGCGTTAGTGTATCGTCAGCCCCAGAAGGGGGAGAATGACGTTAAAACTGGGATACGGAGTAGACGAAATATTTGTAAGGAGTCAAGAAAGTGCGCGCGGGAAAGAGCTACGTGCAAGTACCGCGCGCATCTCTCGAGATTCGGCCCGTAAGACCTGAGGGTCGGTGGGGCCATGGGAGATGGTGGGTTGTCCCTACCCCATGATACCTCATTTTCGACATATGCAAAATAACGGCTAGACTTTATTTGCCGCTACTTATAGAGTACTGTTTAAAACCAAACGAATCAATACATTCGTGGAAGCTGTTAAATCTATAAGCACTATTATATTTTTTGATCACGTGTTCAAAATAATGTAAGTACCATACCTCGAAAACGCGAGTGCTCACAGTACAAAAATGACGACGATTTATGACGTTATATATTTACCTAGAGTACTGCGGCAGTATACTAGCAGTCCATAACGGAACGAATTTTTGAACAGTGCTCGTAGTGTTTATCAGAACACGACCTATAGCTTTCTATTTTTAACGTAAATTTATCTTTAAATTTGCTTCCATAGTGAAAACAATTTAGAAAACTGATAATAACAAAATCAAGGAATACTATTTGGTGTTGAAAGTGAGCTTTACACACGCTTTGGACAAACTGACAATAATTCTAAAAACCATTAATATGGCTTCATTACTCTTCATTTAATATTTCTTTAAAATACTACAATTACAGACACCACAACTTAAAGTTGTAAACTTCATCATACTCCACCAAATCTCAGAAATACCTTTTGATGTTTCACATTAATCATTCCGCAATAACTTTGTACAAACGATCTCACGCGATTTAAATAACCTTCGTAAATACAAAGAATTATGAAGTTATCTATATTTCATTAGAAAATATATTATATTTTTTTCAATTGCAAGGAATAATTATTTTCAGACAGGACAATTTTTTATTATTTGATGACATACAAATATAAAAGTGTTCAATGTATAAAAAATCTCGTTATATTGCGATGAGTTACGTGTAGTGTACACGTAACTCATTGCCGCAGTTCGCTTCCTCTGTTTGTTTTTTTTATAGAATAGAGAGTAAAAGAGCGTGCGACTCATCTGATGGTTCGCTGTTCCCGCCCTTGCACACTGATGTTATTGTTTAAGTTCATTTTGGCGCGAACACTTACCGTTGGAGTTTTTACTGCTGCAAAAGCCGCTAGTGTCGGTGTCCTCGTCACTACCTTCCGAGTTCAAATCCGAATCGTCCGTATCGAAGTCGCTAAGAGAAAAAAATCATCCTTTAGAACTGGCCGAAAACATAAAAACCCTACAAAGATGGTTTTTTCATGCATATCAATAAATAGTACAGGCCATTAATACTTTGAAGCGCTTCCTCAAGCGAACGACCTTGAGCATTCGATCCGCCTCTACCCCGTCTCTCAGAGCTCTCCCGCTACGTGATAGAGCCATGCTGCAAAATACCAGCGTGAAATAGCAGCTAAAGGCTACTGTGTTTCGTATGGTGAGCGTAGAGAACCGGAGACCTTTTTTACTGGAAAAGAGGCATTCGATCTTAGTCCTCACGGGTGACAACGCATCTGCATTTCGATTCTTTATTGAGAATAGATGTCCATGGGTCACATCAACCACTTACCATCAGGTGGACTGGGCGCTCGTTTGTCACCCTTATCCTATAAAAAAAAACTAAGATGGAATGCCTCGTTTGCAGTAAAAAAGGGTCTCGGGTTCTGTACACTCACCATATGAAACACAGCAAGCTGCTATTTCACGCTGGTATTCTGGGAGAGCGTGGTCCTACTACTATCGAGCCGACCTATTTGTGCTAAAACTGTAAGACAGCTGCTGCGTGGCTCTACCACGAGCCAATACCAGTGTTGAGTGTAGCGGTGTTAGTTATTAGTTTGGATTTAGTGGTGGCAGCAATAGTAAACACAATTGTACGTGGAAGGATTGTGCTCTTCTCGCTAGCTAATTAATTTTCACGTCTTTAACAGTATGTAAGTACGACTAAAAAATACCTGGACATATAGGAGCAGTCGCTGTCGGCCATTGAGAAGGTCCGTGACCCACCATATTGCATTTTGGGCTTCTCTATAGGGTCGCTCCAGTTACCGCCGCCTGGAAAAATCAAAAAAAAAAAGTAAAGTTACGGTCCCACATCGGGGCACAGGCTTCCCAATTCTGAAAAGTTCATATTATTGTAAATGGAAGAATGATAGGATATGTTAAGGTCTTTAATAAAAAATAGAAACATTTCGTTTTTTTTTTGTTTTAAATATAAATGTAATTTTTTTTAATCGCCGTAGAAAATTAGTATGATAAAGAAAACTTTATATCTTAATCTTATAAAACTATTAATTTTAATTAAAATTGAAAAAATCTTATAAAATCTAATTATTAATAATCGGTGTTGCCACCTCTAACATTAATTACACATCGACATGGATTGTTCATACTCAAAATTAAATTGTCAACGTCTTGTTGCGGTATGTGGTACCATGTTCTTTGCAAGTGTTCGTAAAGTCGTTGTTCCGTCGTCAAATTTGACGGGAAATCTCTCAAAGCTTTTCGTTGTAACATGTCCCAGACATGCCCGATAGGATTTAAGTCGGGTGACTGTGCAGGCCAATCCTAAACTTGAATATCGTATTCTCCGAGAGCGGCCGACACCAGCCGCGCCGTATGGGAAGTAGCATTATCTTGCATGAGTAGAAATTCCTCGCCCATTTATTCTGTGTGCGACAATAACAGGCTCTACTACCTCCTCGTGGTATTTTTGTGCAGTCATGCTGCCTTGGATCCAAACGAGCTAGGCTCGTCCGCCAAGACGAATTCCTGCCCACATAAAGATTGTCCCGCCTTGGTATGAGTGGACCTCCTGAGGGTGCCGTTGACGGCTAACTCTCCCTGGAGTTCTTCAAACACGTGTTCTTCGTGAATCCGGACGAAAAAACCCAAACCGGGACTCATTAGTGAACAGCACCAAAGACCAGTCACTCCATGATGAATGCTCACGATAGCCCACGAAAGTCGCCGACCGCGACTACTGCCACGTCGCAATGCTGGAATATGTAGCGGTCTTCGAGCATGAATACCAACTTCATGCAACCTCCTTCGCACGGTTTGGTCGCTTACCAGCAGCTGGTGGTCCTCCTGGAGCCTTTGTAGCAATTGCGTCGTTGTGATATTGGGTTGTCTTCTGGCGGTCATTTGGAGAAATCGATTCTGTCTCTGCGTAGCAACACGATATCTACCCGTGTGCCGTTCACCCACATCCCCAGTTTTGCGATAACGTGACCACAATCTTGATAACACGTTTTGGTTGGTGTGTAGGGCCTCAGCAACGACTCGTTGAATAACACCATTTTCTAACATGCCCACTGCTCGTAACATTTCATCTCACTCAAATAACGACGTGACATGACTCTTAAAGCTCACACGGCACGTTAAATTAAAAAAGAAAAACAATTTAATCACTTTTCATTAATTAATATCAGTAGAACAATTTTAATTTTAACGAATTACTAACAATTTTGCTCCCGTATTTAGTTGTTTATTTTTTTCGAAATTTTATTTACATTATTAAATTTTGAAAATAGAATAAAGGAGGTTTCAATCTGTATATAAATTTTTTAGGGAAATTAAAAAGGTTGTACACTACAAAATCGTAAATAAGTTAGGATTAATGTATCCTTAGATTCTGTTGATGTGTAATATATTCCAAAATTTTAAAGACAGTCCTTGAAAATTTTTAATTATTCATAATATTTAAAAAAAAAGTAAATTAAATATAAGTCTTACTGCTGGATACAAGCCTACCCTCATTTCTGCAAGGGTTATGACGCAATTAGTCCACTTAATAAAATCAACACTTAAAATTGGAATTACAAATACACGCCGACAGCGTGTATCAAACCACGGTTGCTGGCAGACTGTGTAATTAACAGCGTGCGCATAGTATCTAAGTTACCATAAACCTTAAGCCAAATCCATTGCCACGCCCACCTCTTTCAGATTGATACGTTGTCTCCCTTAAGAACGAATAAAACTCTTCATAGCCTGTATTAATAAGGACAAGAGTACGTCGGGAGAAGACGTCCTGCGTTTCGTGGAAGAACGAAGCCGATACCGCATAGAGGATCCGATCTCTTTACATTTGCAGCGTCTGGAGTCTAATAGGTCAACGATATTCAAATCCTACGTACTCCAGGTTCCTGCAAAATACAAAGAGACATTCCTCGCTCCCGATTTATTACCCTCCGGGGTAATGTTTCGCCGATACAGAATTTCGCCGGTAGAGAAAAGAAGAAAGTTCCCTAATAGTGTTAATAGTGTTACAAATCCTATGTTTATCTTTTATATATATTTTTTGGTTGAGATATATATATATATATATATATATATATATAGCTATGGGTCTATGTTCTTATTATTATTTTTTAAGTCCTTAATGCAAGAATTAAAGTTGTTGTTATTGTATGTGGTGCTCAACGATAGAAATAGGTTAGAAAGTTAAATCTACCCACACAAACCTAGACAACTAAAATTAGATATTTTCTTTATTTAATACTTTACAGATAATATGATAATATACATGATAGTACAAACGACTTACCAGAAGCCGAAGTGCAGAAGGTGAGGTTAGGAGGCAGCGGCTCCAGATAGTCATCGAACTCCACCGTCTCCGGTATAGAAGAGGCCATGTCGTTACTCCACGTGCCTATTTCGAAACCCTGTGAAATATTTTTATTACCGTTATATTTTAACTTCTCGCTTTGAAAATTGTATGTGCATGTGTGGGTTTGTGCTAGGGCGTGTGCGTATGTGTGTGCGTGTGTGTGTGTGCGTGGGCGTGCGCATGGGTGTGTGCGTGGGTGTGTACAAGGGTGTGTGCGTGGGTGTGTGCGTGGGCGTGTGCGTGTGTGTGCGTGTCTGTGCGTGGGTTTGTGCGTGGGTGTGTGCGTGGGTGTGTGCGTGGGTGTGTGCGTTGGTGGGTGCGTGGGTTAGTGCGTGGGTGTGTGCGTGCGTGTGTGTGTGGGTGTGTGGGTGGGCGTGCGTGGGTGTGTGCGTGTGCGTGGGCGTGTGCGTGTGAGTGTGCCTAGGCGTGTGGGCGTGTGCGTGCGTGTACGTGCGTATGTGTGAGCGTCTGTGTGTGCGTTGATGTGTGCGTAGGCGTGTGCATGGGTGTGAACGTGTGTGCGTGGATGTGTGTGTGTGTGTGTGCGCGCGCGTGCGTGCGCGTGGATGTGTGCGTGGTCATGTGGGCACATTCGTGTGCGTGTGTGTGTACGTGTGTGTGCGTGGATGCGTGCGTGGGTGTGTGCGTGGATGAACGTGTGTGCGTGTGTGTGTGTGTGTGTGTGTGTGTGTGTGTGTGTGTGTTAGTGTGTGTGTATGTGTGTGTGTGTGTGTGTGTGTGTGTGCGTGTGTGTGTGTGTGTGTGTGTGTGTGTGTGTGTGCGTGTGTGTGTGCGTGGATGTGTGTTCGTGGATGTGTGCGTGGGTGTGTGCGTGGATGAGTGTGGGTGTGTACGAGGGTATGTGCGTGGGTGTGTGCATGGATGTGTGTGGGTGTGTACGAGCGTGTATGTGTGGTTATGTGCATGAATGTGTGTGGGTGTGTACGAGGGTATGTGCGTGGGTGTGTGCATGGATTTGTGTGTGTGTGTGGGTTTCTGCGTGGAAGTGTGTGGGTGTATACATAGGTATGCACGTATTTGTGTGTGCGTGTGTGCTTGGGTGTGTGCGTGGGTGTGAGGGTGCGTGGGTGTGTGCGTGGGTGGGTGCGTGGGTGCGAGGGTGCGTGGGTGTGTGCGTCGGCGGGTGCGCGGGTGGGTGCGAGTGCGTACGCGCGTTTTTGTGTGTGTGTGTGTGTGTGTGAGCTTGTGCATGCGTGCGTGGCGTTTGCGCGCTCGCTTGTGTGTGTGTGTGTGTGTGTGTGTGTGTGTGTAACTGTGTAGATGTGTATGTGTGTATGAGTGTGTGTAGGTGTGCGTGTGCGTGTGCGTGGCTGTATACGTAGGTTTGTGCTTGGGTTTGTGCGTGTGCATGTGCGGGCATGCGCGTGTGTGTGCGCGTGTGTGTGTGCGTGAATGTGTGTGTAGATGTGTGCGTGGGTGTGTGTATGGGTGTGTGCGTTGGTGTGTGCGTAGGCGTGTATGGGCGTAGCCGTCATCTCATATGACGACATCTAACTCAAAGAATGACAGCGTGACTTCTACCAGTCATCTTCTCATATGACAACGTGGACCGGACAACTGGCTATCTACCCGTTATCTCATATGAAGACACCTAACTTAAAGAGTGACAGCGTCCCTTCGACCAGTCATCATCTCATATGACAACGTGGACCGGACAACTGGCTTTCTACCCGTCATCTCATATGACGACACCTTATGCCTCCTCTACACTACACGCGAAGTAGATCGAAGTTGGACGAGGCGAATAGTGTAGAGAGGTACTTCGATTCACTTCGTCCAACCTCGCTTCGCCTCAGGTGACTTCCGATCGCTGTCGGTTTTTTGCGCCAGAGGACTTCGCGAAGTACCCCGAAGTTACACGAAGTGTCCCACTACACTACTCAGCGTACGCCAGTTATGAATATCTTTTGTTCGTATAAATATTAAATATGTAACTTTCTACATAATTATTTATTTAGTTAACGCATTGATGTCGTACTGTTCACAAAATTAGGCATATATATATAGCAGCTGCCTCTTGAACGTCATTCATGTTAACGGTGCGGGAGACTCAAGACGACTGAGCTCTTCGCGAAGTAGCACGAGTGTGTGGTCACGTTTTTCGGACTGCGATCGACTTCGGCGAGCACTTCGTCGAAGTTTCTTCGCGAGTAGTGTAGAGGAAGCATTAGACAGTTTAATAGCATCAATTAATTCTCATAACTGACATTACTAACCTTAAAGTTCCCCACGCTCTGATGCTGAGAGGGTTACGTAATATATTGTATGTATTTTAAAGGCAGATTACTCATAGATATATCATATACAGACTACCATTTGACGCAATCCTGCCGAATGGAAACCTGTATAGTAAGTCTATAGTCTCTGCCTAACACTCTGGGTGACACAGTTTATGTATGTATAAAGCTACTAAAGAAATTTAATACTCACTTTAAAGACCCTAAAGGGCCTTATAACGTCGTATACACTTTGATGAACACCCCAACCTCTCAACAGCGTAAGGTTAATTGGGAACCAAAAGTCTATACTAACAAGGATATAAAACACCAGTTTTATAAACTTACACTAGCGGCGTCTTCCTTCTCTTGTAGTATATCATTTATAGTCTTTTCCGTCTCTTTCTTATTCTGCTCCTCTTGCTCTCTTGCTATCCTCTCATTCTCTTCTTTCTCCCTACAAAATTAAACAACAAACTTTTTATAAATAGCAGCTTGTAGCAATAAATGTCATTCAATTTAGATAATACCATACCGCAATTCCCTTTCCTTCTGCTCTCTTATGCTTGGATCTTCTTCGTCCTTCTTTTTCTCGTTCTTCTCGGAGTCAGCGCTTAGTACCTGATAACAAAATGAAGATAATATAAATATTAATTTCTTTAAAGCTACATATACTTACGACAACCAGTCGCATGTTGCATCCCGTTGCGCGAATGATCCCGGAGATTTACATTCCAATAAGAATTTACAACGATCAATGGGAAATCAGTCTTTATGCGTGGATCATAAGGCTTAAAGTCGACTGTGAAATAAATAAAATGTGTAGGGTAATTGATGCAAGCAAGTCACAATCTTATGTCAACGAGCTTAAAAATCTTTACTCCTTTAGACATATTGTTTATTGCGGGTGTTCTAGTATTTTATCATTGAAAGAGGGGAATGTTTGAATGAACTTTTTATTTCAAAAGAGGCATTCCATCTTAGTCCTCACGGGTGACAACGCATCTGCATTTTGATTCGCAAACGAGGATAAATGTAGATGTCTATGGACCACAGCAACCACTTACCATCAGGTGGACAATGTGCTCGTTTGTCACCCTCTCCTAAAAAAAAATTAACCGGATTGACCAGAAGCACCAACGCTCCGGGAAGTCTGCAGTATGTCAACATGTTCAGGATAGTCCAAACCACTACTCAGATTTAATAGACCAGAAACCATTGCAAAAAAAAAACAGATTCCTACCAAGGAAGATTTGCATGGCTATTGAAATAAAAAAACCAAAGCACTGCAGTCTTTAAGATAGTGTAAGCTCATTCAACCAAACCAAAAAATAATATTTAAAATTTGAGGGTAGTCTTCGTTATCTATAACATAGGCACGTCAAATATCTCAATCTCCCGCCTTCTCCCGTGACTATGAGCGCTGAAAAGTGCTCGAAACATCGGGGGTATTAATAAGTTAAATTAAGTTAAGGTGTGAACAGTGGTAGAGCCATGCGGCAGCATTTGCTGTCGCACGGATGGGCCGGCTCGAACCGGGGTAGTACCACTACCTCACAGAATACCAGCGTGAAGTAGAGGTTTACCTCTGCGTTTCGCTTGGTGAGTGCAGGTGGTCGGAGGCCCTTTTTACTGGATATGAGGCATTCCATCTTAGTCCTCACGGGTGACAACGCATCTGCATTTTGATTTGTAATAGAGGATAGATGTAGATGTTTATGGGCCGCAGCAACCACTTACCATCAAGTGGACTGTGTGCTCGTTTGTCACCCTTATCCTATAAAAAAAAAGTTAAAATTAAACGCGATAATATCCCTAGAAATAATATGCTCCTGATGATGCCTCGTTTATAGGCGAAGCACGTGGTGGCAGTGGTGTAGGAAACAGTTGTGACGGAGGTAGTGCACGCAATTGAAGGAAGGCGAAAATTGTCATCAAATTAGGTAAGACATATAATTTTTATTTATTACGCGGATTTTAGCTTATTAATTTATACATCTTTAATATAATGGATTTCCGCAAAGTAACGTCCACCTCTTAATTAACTTTAATGTAACTTATTAATATGTGTTTCTGCGTCTACTGGTTCCCTATGCGACAGAGACCGTAAAGTATACGACTGAGAGAGAAGAAAGATTCTCCCACTCATTCCTATCAACTGTCAGTCTCAGAAGGAGAAGCGTTCCACTTTTTTATACAATAAAAGTGACAAACGCGCACACAGTCCACCCGATGGTAAGTAGATACTAATAAGACATCTACATTAGTCCTCAACTAAGAATCAAAATGCAGATGCGACTTTTCGTCTGATCCAGGCCAATTTACTATAACACGCCTACACAAGTTTCACTTTAACACTTACTTCTGCCAAGCTCCAGCCGAAGTCCAGGGGAGGCCATTGGAAGCCGGGGCACGTGCTCTCGTCTATCTTGGGTATACCGAGGCCCACGTCTATTGCAACGGCGCGACGTATCTCGTCCGCTATCAGCAGAGCGTTTATTCTGAAAATCAATAAAATACTTATACATAGGATGCATGTACTATTATACTGTAACACTGCACCCCATCACCAGTTTGTATGGTTCGGCGTTTGGATTTTGTACTCAGCCTGTAGACAGTATCTAAGGTGCTTAGTGCGGCGGTAAAGTAAAATCACGTGAGAAGACTGGGTGCAGGTCTTAAAAATTAAAGAGAAATTCCTCTCCTTGCCACTATCAGAACTTCGAGGTTAGTGCTCCCAACAACTGCTGGCACAGGTGTGACATGGACGTTATACATGATCTTTGTTTTGTCCATGTTCATCTTAAGACCTATCCGTTGGCAGGCATTATTGAGGTCATTGAGCATAATGCTTAGGTCCTCTAGCGATTCTACCATAAGCACTACATCGTCGGCAAATCGAAGGTGAGTGATGTACTCGCCATTGATCTTAATACCGTATCCTTTCCAGTCCAGAAGCTTGAAAACGTCTTCCAATGCAGCGGTGAAGAGTTTCGGGGATATAACGTCATCCTGTCTCACACCTATTTGCTGTTGATTAGGTTTCGTACTCTGGTTCTGTACTGAGATAGCCGTCGTAGCCCTACTGCACTTCAACACTTCGATATACCGACACTCAACTTGGCACCGCTAAAGGGACTGCAGCACCGCCCAAATTTCGACGGAATCAAAGTCCACATACGCCAGAGATAGTGGCAAATTGTACTCCTCGGATTTCTGTACAATTTGCCGAATGGTATGTATGTGGTCTATGGTGCTAAAGCCTTTTCGGAAACCGGCTTGTTCGGGAGGCTGGAAGTCGTCAAGTCTGCGTACGAGATGATTCTTAATGACTCTCGAAAACAGCACGTAGACGCGGCTCAGAAGGGAAATCGGTCTGTAGTTCTTCAAGAGAGCGTTGTCGCCTTTCTTGAAGAACAAGACCGCCGCACTTCTACACGCCTCCGGTGTAGTGCCACCATGGAAGACGGAATTAAAGACCTTCTGAAGGAATTTAAGTACCGGTTTTCCACCCACTTTCAGAAACTCCGCTGTAATTCCAACATCGCCTGGGATCTTGCCGTTTTTAAGGTGCTGGAGATTCATTCTAATCTCGCTCAGACTGACGTCCGGAATATCATCGGAATAGTGTCGGATAAAACTTGCTCTTTGATCGTTACTCACACTTGCGTGTGGCTCCAACGATGATGTGTACAGCTGCCCATAGAACCTCTCAATCTCACTCAAAATCTCAGGTGTGCCAGAAACGACGCTGCCACACTCGGCCTTCAGCTTCGACAGTTGGCTCTTTCTGGCAGACAGATCTCTAGCAAAGATTTTGGAGCCTTGGTTCCGCTCGATCGCTTCTTCAATTCGAGCTGTATTGAAGTTGCGTAAGTCCCGCCGCATGCATTTGGAGATCTGTCTGTTCAGTTGCCTGTATGCTGTCAAATCTACTAAAGACTGCAGCTTCATTTCCCTTCTAACAGTCATGAGATTAAGAATGTGATCGTGATCGTGAACTTAGCTCCGACCGCATGGACAGTTTCCACGAGCTTGTCGTTCATATCGTCCACTGCATTGCAATATTCTAGGCACTGAAAACTGTTTTGTTGCTTAGTATTTCAGTACGCAATATGATTATTACTGCCCTTTAAAAATTACTTACTCTTATATATCTTTGGCTTTTTCGATGACTTTTACAATTTTTATTATTATTTCTAAGAATTGCAAAAATTCGTAGCCATAGGTAAGCATAGATGGATAGATAGATAGATAACACTTTATTGTACGCCAAAAAATAACATAAATGTTAACAAAAAATGAGAAAAATAAATGTGGTAAAATGGGCGGTCTTATCGCTAAGAGCGATTTCTTTCAGATGGACAGGATTGCAAGAAAACAATAAAAACGTGTGTGGTTTGGCGAAAAAAATATCATTATTTTTATTAAAGCCATATAATAGAAATATATAATGGAATATAAGTACATAGATAAGATAAATAAATACACACATATTAATATATACGTATATATATATACATATAAATATATATTTTTATACATATAAATATATAAAAGTACAAATATATACTTTAAAACTATTATATATAACATAAATGTGCCATACATATAAACAAATATTGTAACAAAGTAAAGGTAGAATAATTATATACAAATGAATAGGCATTATTTTTGTATAAAGCGCAGTCAGTCTGTGCTTGCGTGCGGTGCGTGAGATTAGAGAGACGAGACGCGAACTACTACGTGCCCTCGGCCAGGGCAGTCGGCGACGGCCCGTTCCATGCCCCGCGCGCCTCTCAAGGCGCCCGCACACATCCAGACACACACACATAGGCGCAAGCGATTTTACGTGCACACATGCTTAAGTGTCGTTTCTTTTCGCGTAGTTTATATATTCTTTGGTATAGTGGGTTTTGGGGGAATGCATGGCTCTAGATATATCCTTATATGTTTCCTCCACCTCCTCATCGGGACGTGCCGAGGTTAGTGCGTGAACCTGTATGACCTTCAGCGAATACCGTTTGGTGATTCTGGGTATAAGGTACGCAACCCTCGTCGACACACTCTCTATCTTTACAACGATGTTAACGGGAGACTTGTGGATGATAAATCCGACACCTCCTTGGGTCAGATGGTCGCATTCCCGGTAATAGAACAAGTTGCCGGATCCGAGGATTACCGTGTCCTCCCCCTCTGTTCGGACCTCAGATAATCCTATAATATTCCAGCGCAACTTGTTTATCTCTTCTTCCATTTCCAGGACCTTCTCGTCAGTCCTCACCTTCCTGTTATCATCACATACTAAATCATGTTTTAGATTTGTTGTTATCTCTTGTTTACGAATAGTTTCTTACGTGTTATGTAATGTCAAATTTTTGTAATAATTGGTTATGTTGCAAATCATCGGTGTTAGTAGTTTTGAGTAAATAGGCATGTATCAGGCGTGTTACTTGAAATATTTGTTTTGATCAATAATTTCAATAGTGTAAGGTAATAAAGTAAAACTGCGTTTTATTGTTCTTAGTGCTTTTTTTTTATAGGAGAGGGGGCAAACGAGCATGCGGCTCACCTGATGGTAAGTGACTACCGCCGCCCATGAACAACCGCAACACCAGGGGAATTGCAGATGCGTTGCCGGCCTTTTAAAAAGGAGTAGGCTCTTTTCTTGAAGGTCCCTAAGTCGTATCGGTCCGGAAAAATCGGAACCAGGAAACGTATGGGTAGGCAGAACTACAGATAGTTCTGCCTACCCATACAGAAAAAAAGGAAAACCTTTTTTTTCATTCACGCCATCTAGTATTCAATTTTCGTAAACGGGACTAGGAATTCACTTACGTCTGTGTGTGTAAACGACACTATATTCCGTGACAGATGTCATTTTAGGGCTTTGTGTCAAATTATGTGGATTTTGAGGCAATTATATGACCTAGTACAATAAAGTATAATGTCCGAGTACCGCGGTAGCTACTTCTACGACTTAATAATGTTCCAATTACACAAAAACCCAAATAAACTAAAACAATGATGATCAGCGCCATCTCGCGGGAAATTGGCCGAGAACAGAGCGTATCTTTTACCTTAAATTAAATGCGAAGTACACTAACAAGATCACATGAGATGCGACTGTATGGTGGTAATGTACGAATATTCATCTACTATCCCGTGGGTGTTGTAAGCAGCGACAGAGAGAAACAAACCAGTAGATGTGCAGCAGCAATCTATTGATAGTGACTTAAAAAAAAACAGTGGTATCCAACCTATCTGTCGCTTGCAACTTAGGTCTATGGACGAGATCATGTTCAACAGTGGCCATATTTTTATAGAATAACGTTAACGAACGAACACAGAGTCCACCTGATGGTAAGTGGATGCTGTGGCCCATAAACATCTATCTCCTCGATTAAGAATCAAAATGCAAATGCGTTGTCACTCAGTTTATAGTAAAATAGGGTCTACGGTTCTCGGCACTCACCACACGAAAGACAGCAGTATTAAGCTGTTATTTTACTGCTAATTCACTGTAGTATTCTATGAAAGAAGTTTTTCTACGGTCGACCCAATCCATTCGTGCTACAAGCATATGTGCATATACATACCTGTAGAGGACGCAGGGCAAGGCCACGGTGGCGAACCAGAGCGGCGCGGCGAAGGGGTGCACGCGGCACAGCTCGGGCAGCAGGATCTGCTTCTGGTCCAGCCGGTCCACCCGATCCATCCGTGCTACAGGCATATGTGCATATACATACCTGTAGAGGACGCAGGGCAAGGCCACGGTGGCGAACCAGAGCGGCGCGGCGAAGGGGTGCACGCGGCACAGCTCGGGCAGCAGGATCTGCTTCTGGTCCAGCCGGTCCACCCGATCCATCCGTGCTACAGGCATATGTGCATATACATACCTGTAGAGGACGCAGGGCAAGGCCACGGTGGCGAACCAGAGCGGCGCGGCGAAGGGGTGCACGCGGCACAGCTCGGGCAGCAGGATCTGCTTCTGGTCCAGCCGGTCCACCCGATCCATCCGTGCTACAAGCATATGTGCATATACATACCTGTAGAGGACGCAGGGCAAGGCCACGGTGGCGAACCAGAGCGGCGCGGCGAAGGGGTGCACGCGGCACAGCTCGGGCAGCAGGATCTGCTTCTGGTCCAGCCGGTCCACCCGATCCATCCGTGCTACAAGCATATGTGCATATACATACCTGTAGAGGACGCAGGGCAAGGCCACGGTGGCGAACCAGAGCGGCGCGGCGAAGGGGTGCACGCGGCACAGCTCGGGCAGCAGGATCTGCTTCTGGTCCAGCCGGTCCACCCGATCCATCCGTGCTACAAGCATATGTGCATATACATACCTGTAGAGGACGCAGGGCAAGGCCACGGTGGCGAACCAGAGCGGCGCGGCGAAGGGGTGCACGCGGCACAGCTCGGGCAGCAGGATCTGCTTCTGGTCCAGCCGGTCCACCCGATCCATCCGTGCTACAAGCATATGTGCATATACATACCTGTAGAGGACGCAGGGCAAGGCCACGGTGGCGAACCAGAGCGGCGCGGCGAAGGGGTGCACGCGGCACAGCTCGGGCAGCAGGATCTGCTTCTGGTCCAGCCGGTCCACCCGATCCATCCGTGCTACAAGCATATGTGCATATACATACCTGTAGAGGACGCAGGGCAAGGCCACGGTGGCGAACCAGAGCGGCGCGGCGAAGGGGTGCACGCGGCACAGCTCGGGCAGCAGGATCTGCTTCTGGTCCAGCCGGTCCACCCGATCCATCCGTGCTACAAGCATATGTGCATATACATACCTGTAGAGGACGCAGGGCAAGGCCACGGTGGCGAACCAGAGCGGCGCGGCGAAGGGGTGCACGCGGCACAGCTCGGGCAGCAGGATCTGCTTCTGGTCCAGCCGGTCCACCCGATCCATCCGTGCTACAAGCATATGTGCATATACATACCTGTAGAGGACGCAGGGCAAGGCCACGGTGGCGAACCAGAGCGGCGCGGCGAAGGGGTGCACGCGGCACAGCTCGGGCAGCAGGATCTGCTTCTGGTCCAGCCGGTCCACCCGATCCATCCGTGCTACAAGCATATGTGCATATACATACCTGTAGAGGACGCAGGGCAAGGCCACGGTGGCGAACCAGAGCGGCGCGGCGAAGGGGTGCACGCGGCACAGCTCGGGCAGCAGGATCTGCTTCTGGTCCAGCCGGTCCACCCGATCCATCCGTGCTACAGGCATATGTGCATATACATACCTGTAGAGGACGCAGGGCAAGGCCACGGTGGCGAACCAGAGCGGCGCGGCGAAGGGGTGCACGCGGCACAGCTCGGGCAGCAGGATCTGCTTCTGGTCCAGCCGGTCCACCCGATCCATCCGTGCTACAAGCATATGTGCATATACATACCTGTAGAGGACGCAGGGCAAGGCCACGGTGGCGAACCAGAGCGGCGCGGCGAAGGGGTGCACGCGGCACAGCTCGGGCAGCAGGATCTGCTTCTGGTCCAGCCGGTCCACCCGATCCATCCGTGCTACAAGCATATGTGCATATACATACCTGTAGAGGACGCAGGGCAAGGCCACGGTGGCGAACCAGAGCGGCGCGGCGAAGGGGTGCACGCGGCACAGCTCGGGCAGCAGGATCTGCTTCTGGTCCAGCCGGTCCACCCGATCCATCCGTGCTACAAGCATATGTGCATATACATACCTGTAGAGGACGCAGGGCAAGGCCACGGTGGCGAACCAGAGCGGCGCGGCGAAGGGGTGCACGCGGCACAGCTCGGGCAGCAGGATCTGCTTCTGGTCCAGCCGGTCCACCCGATCCATCCGTGCTACAAGCATATGTGCATATACATACCTGTAGAGGACGCAGGGCAAGGCCACGGTGGCGAACCAGAGCGGCGCGGCGAAGGGGTGCACGCGGCACAGCTCGGGCAGCAGGATCTGCTTCTGGTCCAGCCGGTCCACCCGATCCATCCGTGCTACAAGCATATGTGCATATACATACCTGTAGAGGACGCAGGGCAAGGCCACGGTGGCGAACCAGAGCGGCGCGGCGAAGGGGTGCACGCGGCACAGCTCGGGCAGCAGGATCTGCTTCTGGTCCAGCCGGTCCACCCGATCCATCCGTGCTACAAGCATATGTGCATATACATACCTGTAGAGGACGCAGGGCAAGGCCACGGTGGCGAACCAGAGCGGCGCGGCGAAGGGGTGCACGCGGCACAGCTCGGGCAGCAGGATCTGCTTCTGGTCCAGCCGGTCCACCCGATCCATCCGTGCTACAAGCATATGTGCATATACATACCTGTAGAGGACGCAGGGCAAGGCCACGGTGGCGAACCAGAGCGGCGCGGCGAAGGGGTGCACGCGGCACAGCTCGGGCAGCAGGATCTGCTTCTGGTCCAGCCGGTCCACCCGATCCATCCGTGCTACAAGCATATGTGCATATACATACCTGTAGAGGACGCAGGGCAAGGCCACGGTGGCGAACCAGAGCGGCGCGGCGAAGGGGTGCACGCGGCACAGCTCGGGCAGCAGGATCTGCTTCTGGTCCAGCCGGTCCCGCTTGGCGCGCCGCGTGCGCTCCGAGGACACTGGCAACGCCACTCCCTTGCGGTTCACGTACCTGCCCACCACCAAACATGGTTTAAAATTATTTATAACAATAATATAATAACAATATCCTCCAGACCTTATTATTCAATTTAAAACCTGCCAAAAAAACTGCTTTACAAATATCTTATAGCTATAAAAACACAAAACAAGAAACTGTTAACTTTCTAACGCTACTTTGTTAAGAATAGACATACGCATTTGAGTTGGAAACAGCACATACGAAAATTTAAAAAAATATCCTCTTTTATTTACACACTACAACACCTTAAACGTATGACAGATTTTAAGACACATGGTACGGTACTCTCCTACGGCATCATATTGTGAGGAAACTAGTATGATGTAAACAAATTATTTATATTATAAAAGAAGTGTCTACGAATATTAATGAATTTAGACCAAATGGAATCATGTAAAACTCACGTCATTAAACATAAAATACTAACACTTAGGTCTATCTACATCCTCGAGTCTTGTAAATTCGTCAGGAAACATCCAAAATTTTACTCACCTATTACAAAAACTAAAACAAATAATAGAAAATTATATAAGCTTAGGATACCCCTCTTCAAATTAGAATTAGTTTCGACTAGCCCCCAAGTTATGTCAATAAAGATTTATTGACATAACGACCATACACCGAATTCTATAACGATCCTAGAGAACCCTGCGCAATTTAATAAACAATGGCGCTACTAGAAAATGAGGTGTAATTGTTTAGGCCAAAAAAGGTAAGTTGTACGCCCTCCAATGGCGTTCGACCTAGCGCCTCACCTGATTTGGTATGTAGGTGAGATAAACGCCGAGGTGGCGCGGCTGCGTGGCAGTCTGTTGCTCGACGCGTGGGCGAAACGTCGGTGCCAGCCACGAGGCGGGGAGACCGTCAGGTCCTCTTACCTAAATTCACGGCCCGTTGTGGATCTAGATAGCTAGATGAAGGACGTGCTTCTTCGTCACGTAGATGTGAATTGTGCGATATTTAACTTGTTCGGGGATGCGGAATTGTGCACACGCGCGTCGAGTAGATATACGGTCTAGGGTTCGAACCACGCATTCCTTGTTCGATAGCTTCTCCCGGTTGATCATCAGGAAATCATTATAATCGTGTCGTCGCATTAAGTGCCCTTTTTTGTGTGTGTTGGCTTGTTAGTTTACGTGTCAACGAGGCGTATTTTGACTCTGGAGAGACGTGTTATTCTGGTGCCGACTTTATAATTTGTGATAAGTGAATCCGGGACATTCAACGTCGAATTTTGTGCTACTGTCCTTGCCGTGTCGGATATCACGTGTTCAATTCTGCGATGAGTGTGGAATTAGGCGAATTGAAGTTAGTTAAATGTACAATGAAGCTAAGAGACTGAATAGTGACAGTGAAGAAAGTGGTCCGGCGCTGAAGCAGTCTGGAGCGATGCAGCATTTTGGAGCAGCCTGGAACTCGGCCGCTGCTGGTATGCTTGCCAAGGCCCCACACATTCACATTTCACTGTACACTACGCCATCCATTATTACACACACGGCCTGCCCAAGCCTTGGTGCGAAGTTAGCTTCGGATAATGGTAAGTACTATGTGTTTCTAGCTTTCTCCCATATAGTTTATTGTGATAGGAAATTCCACGCGGCCATATTGAGGCCCGACCTGCATCTGCCCGTCGAAGAAGCTGCTATGGGCCCCAGGCAAGACGACCTTTGCAAGGGCAGCTGTAGGCCGTAACAGTAATATTTGACAGATTTCATAGCGGGGAAGTTAATTTGTTCGGAAAATGTAAAGGTTGTTTCTTTCTGTACTATTAGCTATATTTTATATTAATAAGATCTTCCCAAAGCAGTGGAATGTATTAATAAGGATCTAACATGTATTCTCGACTGGAGTCGTTCCTATGGGTTAACGGTGAACCCTTTGAAATCCCAAGCCATAATCATTGGGAGTTCAAGAATGATTTGCAAAATAAAAAAATATCAACGGCTTAGCTTTTAGCCATTGACGTCCGTCGAGTTTGGTGTTGATACGCATTTTTACAGAAAAGTTACACTATTATAAGCACACACACAAAGTTTCAACACGCGGAAACGCGTAATTTTTGAGAAAAGAATTATTGAAAATCAATTATTCTTGCAATGTTTATGTCTAATCCTACCGTAAAACTGGCGCCATTTTGTAATGTCAATGTCGACGTCAATAGGGATGTCGATTCTTTCCGAAAAAGGTCGATTTTTAAATCGATTCAAATCGTAAGCTAATGTATCGGCTCATAAAAAATCGATTTCTAAAATATCTCTATTTTTTTATGTTTTTTTTTTATAGGATAAGGGTGACAAACGAGCACACAGTCCACCTGATGGTAAATGGTTGCTGCGGCCCATAGACATCTACATCTATCCTCTATTACAAATCAAAATGTAGATGCGTTGTCACCCGTGAGGACTAAGATGGAATGTCTCATTTCCAGTAAAAAGGGCCTCCGGTCACCTGCACTCACCAAGCGAAACGCAGAGGTAAACCTACCTCTACTTCACGCTGGTTTTCTGTGAGTTTCTATTTATAATGTAAATATAAACCCATTTTATGAAAAATAAGAAAGATACCATGATAAATGATCTCTTGTTGAAATTTGTTTTATTTAACAGTACCTATTAGGGCAGATAACAAATAAAATAGGTTAGGTTCAACTTATGTCAAAGAACCGAATTGATTGACCCCGACTCCACCTGGTACGAGTCTGTCCTACCCCTAGAGTGGTTTTATAGAGCCGGAGGCGCGTAGGGGGAGCAGCCTCCGCCTGCTGTAACAAATCGTAGGCATCGGACGAGCCGGAGCGGCTAAGGCTGGTCACCGAAGGCGACCAACAAGCCGAAGCTGCGGAGGCGAGGAGAGATGCCTGCAATTTGTTACGCTAAGGCGTAGAGGCTGCTCTTCCCGCAGCGCCGGAGATGTAGCAGTCTCAAAATAGATACAGAAATCCTTCTGAATCAGTCCCCTTATTTTTTATGGCGAAGGGAATTTTTTTCTCATAAAATGGATTTATATTTACATTATAAATGCAAACATGAAAAAAATATAGATATTTTAGAAATCGATTTTTTGGGAATCGATACATCAGCTTACAATTCGAATCTATTTAAAAACTCGATCATTTTCGGAAAGAATCGACATCCCTACTGACAATAATAATAAAAAATGGCGTCAGTTTCATAGTAGGTAGGAATTGACATAAATATTGCAAAAATATTTGATTTTCAATACTTTTCTCTCAGAAAGTACATGTTTCCGCACATTGAAACTTTGTGTGTGTACTTATAATAATGTAATCTTTCTGTAAAAATACGTATCAACACCAAACTCGACGGACGTCAATGGAAAGTCGTACCAATGTCACCTAGAACCAGTTGTATATAATGGAGCTCCCATCGCTTTTTATAATAATAATAATAATAATATTCCACAACTATCAAACAACGCCATCTAGTCCCAAGATAAGCAGAGCTTGTGTTATGGGTACTAGACAACTGATAAACATACTTATATATTTCTAAATACATAAATATTATAGATAAATTACACCCAGACACAGAACAAATGATCGTGCTCATCACACAAACATTTGTCCTGGGTGGGAATCGAACCCACGACCTCCAGCGTAGCAGTCAGGGTCACTAACCACTAGACCAACAGGCCAGTCAAATCGCTTATAATGACGTTGTCAAAAATTTAGGTATCCTTTTGGATTCAAGTCTTACTTGAGCTCCCCCAAATTAATACAGTGAGCCGTAAAATGTTTGCAGTTTATGCTTCATTCCGGAGGCTTAATTACTTTTTACCCATTGCCACCAAAATTACGCTTGCACAATTTTTACTACTCCTTATCCTCGACTATGCTGACATTTGTTACCTTGATATCACCGAGGAGCAACTTAACAAGCTTGAGCGACTCCAAAATCTCTGTATACGGTTCATATTCGGGCTTCGCAAATATGACCATGTCTCAGAATACCGCACTGAGCTCATGTGGCTCCCAATCCGTCTTCGTAGAAATACTCTTAGACTTTGTGCTCTCTACTGCGTCTTATTTAATATTTCTAATCCTTCCTATCTAAAAGAACGTTTTAAATTTCTCAGCTCCTGTCGTAATTTTTCCTTACGATCCAAAGAAAATCTTTCCCTCCAATGTCCTATGCACTCCTCGACTTATTATGATAAATCATTCTCTGTTATTGGAATAAGACTTTAGAACTCCTTACCCCAGTCAATTAGAAGTGCTCAATCCTTAAATGTGTTCCAGAAACAGATTAAAGAATACTATTTGTCACTCTAACCCCTCTCACTTCCTTCGCTTAATTATGATCATTGATCTACCTGAAGAATGTTGTCTTTTTAAAGCATAAGTTGATATGTTTATTTTATTTTTATTTTTATATGTTTTTTTTTTTAATTTTAGTGCACCCTACCCATTGTTCTTTTTCTTATTTTTATTTATTTCTTATTCTGGGTTGTCTGCAAGAGATTGCTATGTAGCAATAAAACTGCCATTTGTATTTCTCTCAATAGTTGTTTAGTTTTTATTTTTAATATTTTTATCTTTTCTTGGTGTACAATAAAGAGTATTGTATTGTATTGTATTGTACTGTAACATTAAAAATAAATAAATCAAACCACAGATATTCATAAAAGAAGAAAAATTAATAAAATGTTATAAATATGCAAAAAATTAAAGAACAAACCACTGACGCAGAAACAGATAAACTTTTATTAAAAAAACAACTTCTCAATTAAATGAAACAAAAAACTTTACCTAAGTGTCAACTAGCGACATCTGGTGAGCATAAAATTATTAATCCTCTTTAAAAACATTCCTTATTAATAAATGTTATTATACTTAAAATGAATTTTTTGACGATTTTGGACAAAGAAAGGAGACTAATACAGAATAATATGAATGTTGATGATATGATATTTTATAATTTATGTTTAAAAATTAGATTATACAAACATAGTTAGTGCTCTAGTGTTGCCTTTTAAGGGCGTTACATGTATACCTATCAAATGTAACAACTTAAATTTGTATTGTGCCATTCAAAACAATTTGAATTTGACCGAATTTCGAACACGGCGGCCAGTCTTGACGGGAACCAAGAATCCGCGCGGGGCAAGTCGAGTGTGTGCGTGTGCCCTCTCAGTTCGCTCACTCTCATAGTCCGCTTCGTACGGTGTAACGCTGCCATCTTCCACTACTGACATTTTCTTCACAGAAAAACCCAAGAACTAAATTTGGTCCCAGCCCAGATTCCAACCGGGGACCTCATTATCAGCAATCGCGTTTACGACCACCATAGCAACGAAGTAGACGTGGATTTACAAGTGAAGATACGATCGTCCAAACATTTGTCTAATGCTTTTTCCAGTAAAAATTAGCGACATATATTATTTAAACTAATTTGAACTACGATGTGATCGCCGTGTTCGTTGAATTATTGTAACTTTTAAATTCTTATATAATGGTTAAGTTATAAACCAGTGCTTGACCATAATCCTACATGATGGTAAGTAAAGCTTTAGACGATAAATCGCACTACCTTAGCGTATCAAAAATAATATAATAGATAACGTAATAAACTTTTAACGTATTGCTAAAAACTAGTGTTATAAGGAATGTTCAGTTTATTCTGGCTGCATATAGCCGAAGACCGAGATAAATGGCGCGATTTGTGGGAGGCCTTTGTGCAGCAGTGGACTGCCACAAGCTGATTATGATATTATAATAATTAGGTTATACTTTAGGGTTTCTTTTTTATATAGAATAAGGGTGACAAACGATCACAGAGTCCACCTGATGGTAAGTGATTGCTGTGGCCCATAGACATCTACATCTATCCTTGATTACAATTCAAAATGCAGATGTCTTGTCACCCGTGAGGACTAAGATGAAATGACCCATTTCCATTATAAAGGGTCTCCGGTTCTCTACACTCACCATACGAAACACAGCAGCATTAAGCTGCTATTTTACGCTGGTATTCTGTGAGTGCGTGGTGCTTTTTCGGTCGAGCCGACCCATTCATGCTACAACTATACTACTAATATAGCTGCAGCATGGCTCTACCACGTAAAAACAGGGTTCAGGTGTTCAATAAATAAATTTGGAAGAAAAATTGCACCCTTACAGATAACAAAATAGGATACGAAGTTGATACTTATATCTTTTTTTTATAATAAGAGTGACAATCAAGCATGCAGTCCACCTAATACAAAATGGACATCTACATCTATTTTCGTGGACTAAGATGGAATGTCTAGTTACCAGTAAAAAGCCAGCAAAGTGCGAGACAGACTCGTGCATGAAGGGTTCCGTGCCATCAAGTGTCTAGTATGAGAGCCCCCTTAAATTTTTAATTTATTTTTATTTTTATTATTTGCTTTTATAGCGGCAACAGAAATACACATTCTGAGAAAATTTCAACTGTTTACCTATAATGGATCATGAGATACAGCTCGCTGACAGACAGAGGGACAGACGACGTAGGCTTTAAAATAGCGTCCCGTTGGTTACCCATTAGGTACAGAACCATAGAAAAGGGTCTGTAGTTCTCTACACTCACCATACAAAACACAGCAGCATTAAGCTGCTATTTTACGCTGGTATTCTGTGAGAGCATGATCCTTCCCTGGTTGAGCCGACCCATTCGTGCTACAACCATAACAGCAGCTGCAGCGTGGCTCTAACAAATTATTACAATAAAAATTAAAATAGTCTTACCTGGGTGTCAGAAGGTTCAATCTAGCGCTGGTATGGTCGACGTCTAGTAGAGGTTGGTTCGGTTGCGTGAGCTCCACGCCATACTTCGTGCTATAGTAATCCCGGAACGTAGTGTGCGTGGCCGACGGGAAAGCAGAATCCGGGGTTAGATTCCAACAGATTTCCGCCACCAAGAAGAACTGAAAACGAACATAATTAGGTATATATGTATATATTATATATCTAGCAATCTCGCCCCAGCTTCGCCCGGTGATTTCTGCATTTCGAAAATAGCGCCACCTACCGGGCCCAATGGTGAATCCAAACCTTCCACATTCTTTACTCATACATACAAAAAATAGTAGTGGCCCCACCACGTTAGTATTAGGTCATTACATATGAAATTAGCGTTTTGTCGTACTGACCACTTTAATCTGAAATATCTCCCCTTTGGTTAAGAATTCCAAATTAAAATTTATAAATTCATTTAGCTGGTACTTTACTCAACTTACTCTTTTTGTACTTTGCTCAACCGACACAATAATGAAGGGATTTTAAATCGAATCATTACTTGTGATGAAAAGTGGATATTGTACGATAATTGGAAGCGCTCGTCGCAATGGCTGAACCCTGGAGACTCAACCAAATCCTGCCCTAAACGAAAATTGACTCAGAAAAAGTTACTTGTGAGTGTTTGGTGGACTAGCGCCGGTGTCGTTCACTACAATTTCTAGAATCTGACCAAACGATTACGGCAGATATCTATTGTCAGCAACTGCAAACCATCAAGGAAGAACTAGCAGCTAAGCAACTGAGATTGGTCAATCGCTCTAGGCCACTGCTGCTTCACGACAATGCACGACCACACACTTCACAACAAACAACCACTAAGATGAGCTACAATTGGAATGTCTGTGACATCCACCGTACTCCCCGGACCTTGCTCCAACAGATTACCATTTTTTCCGGAATTTGTACAACTTCTTACAAGGAAAAAAATTCAACTCCGATGCGGCAGTCCAAACCGCCTTCAAAGAGTTTATTTATTCTCGCCCCCATGGTTTTTTTTTTTTAGTAAAGGGATCAATGAACTACCTATGAGATGGCAAAAGTACATCTAGATAACAACGGTGCATACTTTGATTATTTAAATATATTTTACAAAAAAAAATTGACTTTATATTCCCCCCGTACAAAACGCCAATTTCATATGTAAGGACCTAATACATCCAGTGGTTTATTAAGAGTAGCTAGAAAAGGGAAACTATAAAAAAGGATATTGAAACTAATCATGTAGTATCGACAAGATATCTTTTATATGTGGTAGAGCCACGCTGCAGCTATATTATGGTTGTAGCACGAATGGGTCGGCTCGACCAGGGAAGGACCACGCTCTCACAGAATACCAGCGTAAAATAGCAGCTTAACGCTGCTGTGTTTCGTATGGTGAGTGTAGAGAACCGGAGACCCTTTTTACTGGAAACGAGGCATTCCATCTTAGTCCTCACGGGTGAAACGCATCTGCATTTTGATTCGTAATCGAAGATAGATGTAGATGTCTATGGGCCACAGCAACCACTTACCATCAGGTGGGCTGTGTGCTCGTTTGTCACCCTTATCATATAAAAAAAAATTACAAAGTTTAGGAAGTTTTAGCAGTAAGAGTGAAAAAAAAAACTTGCAGTGGCGGTGTGAAAATATCCGCTACCTCATATCGTCCCGTAGATGTCGTTAGAGACGACAGCGGGAAACTGAAACAGGAAATGGGCAATAGTATCTTTCTGATAACAGCTTAGTAATAAAATATTTCTAAAGACAACCCGCCTGCCAAGCGTGGCAACTATGGCAAAATCCTTCGTGATCCCCCTTGTGAGGTAATCTATGGGCGAGGCCCAGCAGTGGACTTTTATAGGCTGTAATGGATGGATGTATAGAAGATAATCTACCAGGAGCACATGACCCGCTGAGAGGTGAATTTGTTAAATTAATAGTAACATTACAACTATGGCAAATATCCTCCCTATGAGGCAAACTATGGGGGAGGTCTATGTTGAGCAGTGAACTTTTATAGGCTGTAATGGATGGTTGTATAGAAGATAATCTACCAGGAGCACATGACCCACCGAGAGGTGAAGTTATTAAATTAACAGTAACATTACAACTATGTCAAAATATCCTCCCTATGAGGCAAACTATAGGGGAGGCCTATGTTCAGCAGTGGACTTTAATAGGCTGTAATGGATGGATGTATAGAAGATAATCTACCAGGAGCACATGACCCACTGAGAGGTGAAATTATTAAATTAACAGTAACATTACAACTATGTCAAAATATCCCCCCTATGAGGCAATGTATGGGCGAGGCCTAGCAGTGGACTTTAATAGGATGTAATGGAGCAAAGAGGAAAATAGCAAAATAACACACTTGTGGTTGATCTTGATTCCTGTACCACGGCGTGACAACCGCTTCCTTATACTTCTCGGGATCGAAAACAAACGTCTCCCCTGGCTTCAGCAGGGGATTTTCCATCTTCTTCACTTTCCCGTCTTTATCCTTCCCCTTGGCCCTTTCCAACATCTTGTCCTCTAAGGGCTCGTCATCTTCCTCCTCGTCCTGTTGAAAGAGGAGCGGTTTCTCCACTTCCAAGCTCTTCTTTTCTTCTGTGTACTTGTATATTAACTCCAAGAATCCCCAGTCCACGTCAACCATTGTTGTACCGTCTTCCTTTGTCGCTGCAAGAGAATACGGTATAGTTATAAATTTCGCTGTTCTAGATTAATAATAGAGAAGTTTTTTTTGCCACAAATTTATACCGGGTGTTTGTGAAACACTCCCGAAAACGAAGACAGACGATAGTACTAACAATACGTTTGATGATGGGTCAGAAAGAAAATCGATCCCGAGGAAAAAATCATCTTTTCACGTTTTGCACCACTGTGCGATTTAGAAGAAGTTTTCTCCATCGCACAACTTCCTTGTGGAATCAATTACCACCAGCGAATTTTCCGGACCGATACGACTTAGGAACCTTCAAGAAAAGAGCTTACACCTTTCTAAAAGGCCGGCAACGCATCTGCAATTCCCCTGGCGTTGCGGTTGTTCATGGGCGGCGGTAGTCACTTACCATCAGGTGAGCCGCATGCTCGTTTGCCCCCTCTTCTATATAAAAAAAAAACAAAATGCAGATGCATTGTCACCCCTGAAGACTAAGACGGAATGCCTCGTTTCCAGTAAAAGAGGTCTCGGGTTCTCTACACTCACCATACGAAACAAAGAAGCATTAAGCTGCTATTTTACGCTGGTATTCTGTGAGAGCGTGGTACTTCCCCGGTCGAGCCGACCCATTCGTGCTACAACTATACTATTAATATAGCTGCAGCATGGCTCTACCACGTAAGCGTAAGTGAAACTGTATAAAAGGGTTATTATAATATAAATGAATACATTGCTGATAATAACCCCTGGGAATAAGGTGGTCGCTGCCAAGTTGTTTCTAAAATAAATTTTGTAAATAGTTAGTACACCCATTAATGTAAAATTTACTTTTAAAAAAAGTCCCACTGGGATTCTTCCTGGTTCTTCCCAGGACAGAGGTTTTTCTCGAACCAGTGGTAAAGCAAAAAATGACTTTCAATGAGAATTATACATGTGGTCCTCTATAAAAATAAATAAAATTGAAGTGTCTGTTTGTAATGTCAAAATAATAGCTTTTTACTAAATGCATATGAAAGTATATACGGTGCTTATAACAAAAAACAATTTTTAAAATTTTGGTGTCTGTCTGTTTGTTCGGGCTAATCTTCGAAACGGCTGGATCGATTTTGACGGGACTTTCGCTGGCAGATAACTGATGATATAAGGAGTAACTTAGGCTGCTTTTAGTTTAGAAAAAGAATAAGGGTACCGCGCAAAAAAAAATTAAAATCCTAAATTACACGCGGGCAAAATCGCGGGGAACATCAAATATTGAATAACAAAATATTCTATTCTATTATATTTATCCCAATACAGACACAGCTAATAAAAAATATTAATTCTTACTTTTAATTGTAGGCACTACGTAATAGTTGTTGTGAGTGGAGCCCTCGCTCTGCAGCTTCATGCCACGCCTGCGCACCCTCAACACGTCGGAGAACACGAAACGCATGAATCTGCAATATAAAGTGATTAAAAAAAATATAAAATATATAATGTAGAAAGCCATTTCTAGCTAGGCGTACGTCTGGGTAATCAAAATTATTTTGTCTATTTTTTTTTAATCTAAGGGGGTAAATTAGCAGCCGGCTCACCTGATAGTAAGTGACTACCGCCGTCCATAAACAAATGCAACACCAGGGGAATTGCTGTTTTTTTTTTATTGGATAAGGCTGACAAATGTGCACACAGTAAGTGGATGATGTAAGAATGCAGATGAGTTGTCACCCCAGAGGACTAAGATGGATGCCTTGTTACCAGTAAAAAGCCTAAACTATAGAATATAGATGGAACAATGTCCCTTCTATTGAGAGAGAAAGAGAGAGGGAGATAATGAGAGGATAAAGATGGCACCTGTTCTTGCGCACTATAATTCTGTAACCATAAAACTATTTAGTGCTTTAGTTGTCAAAATTTCCCAAAAGCACCGCAATGTGAAGGATTAACATACTAATAAAATTTTGTAAAATAGAAAGCCGACTAGGCTGTACAGACAAGGATCCCTTTGTCTTTAAATAATGTAAAATTTTACTTTTAATAAGAAACAAAAGCCCTTTGAGGTCGACACAAATAATAAAATAATTTTTGTTAGTTTTGGCGGGAACTTGACCGCCGGCGGATTGCTGTTCCTGTATTATTGTTTAAATAATAAGGTTTGAAGTGCATTTTTTGATACGCAAAAATGGCGCGATTTTATGTACCTATTAAATATTTGCGCATATGAAATATTAATAGAAACGATGAAACAAATGCTCCGATGTAGATGTGAATCTTAAGATTTAAGATAATGTACTATAAAATTATATAATATTATTATAATATTCTGTTGTAAATTTTACAGTACGCGAGCAACCCGGGTTCGATCCCCGCCGGCACTAATTAAATTGTTAATTGCAATTTTAAGTGCTGATACCACGTGCTCGGCGGTGAAGGAAAACATCGTGAGAAAATCTGCATGTCTGAGGAATAAAAAAAAATATTTCGAAGACATGTGAAGTCCGCCAACACGCATTGGATCAGCGCGGCGGACACTTTCTTGCGCGACCTTGGCGGATTCTCTCAGAAGTAACTTTTTTTATTTTACTAGGAGATACTATCGTCATCAATGAGGGCTAATAATTATATACTCACCAGATGTCGCTAGTTGACACTGAGGTAAATTTTTTTGTTACATGATGTCATTTAATTGAGAAGTTGTTTTTTAATAAAAATTTATCAGTTTCTAGAGGTTATATTAATACACAAAACAATGCGTCAGTGGTTTGCTCTTTAATTTTTTGCACATATTTAACTTTTTTTTTAATTTTACTACTTTTATTAATAGCTGTGGTTTGGCTTATTTATTTTTAATGTTATTAACATAAAATATAGCTAAGAGTACAGAAAGAAACAATAACTTTTACATTTTCTAAACAAATTAACTACCCCGCTATGAAATCTGTCAAATATTATACCTCACTTACTAGTGGCGCCGCCCTGGTGGTAGAAAAAGTTGTGGATGCCCTCATTGTCCGTTGGCTCAAGCTGCCGTCAATATTTACCAAAAGTTTCGCAATGTGACGCATCAACTTATTGTGAAGAAGTGTACTATAAAGCATCACTTCTTCATCATTATCATCATTCAACAGCCCTTAACAAGTTCACTGCTGAACATAGGCCTCCTCCAAAGAATGCCACAGAGCACGGTCCTGAGCCACCTGCATCCATCGACTTCCTGCATGTCTTATTGTTTGTCCGCGATGAACTCCTAAACTACTGGACTGATTTCAATGAAATTTTGCAGTTTGGTCTAACTTGAGAGATAGGATAGTTTTTATTCCGATAAGTGACCCTTATTTTTTTATTGCGAGTTTAAGGTTTTTTGAAGGACAAATATTCGTCGGAAAGGGTAGAACAACGTCTGCCTGGCCAGCTAGTAATATAGGTATATAAAAATCTATTGCTATCCGTCAGTTTCGCTAAAACTTGAAACTGTCTTGATTGATACTGATGAAATCTTTTGTGTGTGATTGAGTGTTGATTCCCTGGACGGTTTAAATTCACAATAAGTGGTAATTCCGCTAGGTGGAGCTGTTGTCGAGATCCAAACATCACTTGATCGAAGACGCTAGATCGTTAGTATATTCTCTAGAAACAAAAGTAGAACGTGTTAAGAAAAGGAGGAGTGGACGGGTGTTGTTGTACCTGCGCACCAGGCGAGCTCGCCTCGGGGACAGGCGCACGTCGGCGCGCGGCGCCAGCTGCACCTGCACGCGCACCTCGCCCGACCGCGTGTACACCGGGAACGCCGGGATCTGCAGCCTGCACGCCACCGTACATACAACCGCATTTATATGTATACAATATAGATGACAAACGAGCACACAGTCCACCTGATGGTAAATGGATACTGTGATAGACATCTACAACTATCCTCGTTTGCGAATCAAAATGCAGATGCGTTGTCACCCGTGAGGAGTAAAATGGAATGCTTCGTATCCAGTAAAAAGGGTCTCCAGTTCTCTACACTCACCATACGAAACACAGCAATGTTAAGCTGCTATTTTACGCTGGTATTCTGTGAGAACGTGATCCTATCCCGGTCGAGCCGACCCATTCGTGCTACAACCATAATATAGCTGCAACATGGTTCTACCACGTTAGATTTTTTTCAATCACCTTACAAAATTAATACAAACGTGAATAGCGCCGATAAAACCACCAAGGTTCCTTGACAGTGCCACATCCATATCAAACAACCATGTTTTATTTATTTATTTATTTTAAGAAGGCTTACATAGTAAAATTTTCGTAAAGTTACAAAATGGTTATAAGAATTGCTCATTACAAGCCTCCACATATTGGCATAAAAATATTTGTTAGATGCCTAGTTTAAATGACACACAAACAAGTAAATTTAATGGACTGTATCTTATTATTTTACACTTGTTACACACTGTACAACTATTAATACCGCACAATAGCTGCACTTACAAGTTAGCACACTCAACTCGTACCTCCATCTTAAGAAAAAAGATACAAAAAAGAAAGAAAGTAGATTAAAGAAATACGAATGTTGCCACATAACAAAAACACCGTTCCGTTTTATGTATAAGAAGAATCGTACAATATTATTAACGTGAGCGTGGTCCTTCCCCTGTCAAGCCAATCTATTGAAAATACAGCAGCCAAATTTAAAGAAAAAATTATGTATTAAATTTACATTTAATATTACGTCTAGTTAACTAACACTCTAAAGTGCTAGGTAATTTATTAAGTATCGTAGAACCAAGTATCACGCCGTCCACTCGCCGTACACGTTATACGCTAGTACTCGTATCATCCGTATACATCCTCAAGCAATCGTTATGCTAGTTATATGAGCCCTGTTGGTTAATCGCTTTTGAACCACTCGGGTTCGATCCCCGACGTGACCAATGAAATTATTAATTGTAATTTTAAGTGATTTATCATGTGCTGGGAGGAAAAGGAAGTGTTACTGAAGTCGTTACTAAATTATAGTATATCGAAGAATTATAGCCACGAATTCAGAATCTATTATGTGAAAAGAGTTTTTAAGTCATTTTTTACTTTATTGTTAAAAGTTTTTATCCTTTTGAGTATCTTTTGAATATCACACGTATAAGAATAGCTACTAAAAATTCATCTAAATATTTACATTAAAATTCATCTCCTATTTTTCATTTCAATCCCTCTTTCCGAGAGCTGGAATTTGTTCATCCCTAATAAAGAGGTACTAACTCTGAAGTATGTTTAATTTATTTATAAAAACGAACTATTTAAGTTAATTCAGTTGTTTTTAATAAATCGTAGAACATATATAAAAAACACGCTTTGAATACATCTAATGTTCTCGTTTTTGAATTTGGTTAACCAATTATATTAATGTAAAAATACGTTTAGTAAATTTCCATGCAACAAAATATTGTTTTAATTAATAGAAATGTTTATTGTATACACTACACACACTACCGATCACCGCACAATACACACATTAACGCTCACCACACAATGCACACACTACTGCTCACCACATAATACACCTTACACACACTGCTGACCACTACACAATACACACACTACTGCTTACCTCACATACACACACTACTACTTACTACACAATACGCACACTATTGCTCATCACATATTAGTATTACACACATTAAAGTTCACACACACAATACACACACACGCACACGCACGCACGCACCCGCACACACACACACACACACACACACACACACACACACACACACACACACACTACTGCTCAATTCAATACACACACTACTGCTCACCACATCACCTTACACACACTGCTAACCACTACAAAATACACACACTACTGCTTACCTCATATACACACACACTACTACTACTCACTACACAATACGCACACTATTGCTCATCACATATTGGTATTACACACACTACTGTTTACCTTACACACATTGCTGACCACTACACAATACACACACTACTGCTTATCTCATATACATACACTACTACTCTCTACACAATACGCATACTATTGCTCATCACATATTAGTATTACACACATTACTGTTCACCACACAATAGACACATTACTGCTCAATACAATACACAAACTACTGTTCACCACACAATAGACCTTACACACACTGCTGACCACTACACAATACACACACTACTGCTTATCTCACATACACACAGTGCTGATCACTACACAATACACACAGAGTACTACTCAGTACGTAATACGCACATTAGTTCTCAGTACAGAGTACAGACTCACTTGTCGGGCTGGTGGCGCGCCATGAGGATGCCGATGGCCTGGCTGGCGTGCTGCGGCGCGTGCAGGCGCCGCCCGCGCGTGTTGTAGCGCTCCGGCAGCGCGCACCACAGCCGCGAGTCTATCGCGTACAGCGTGTTGCGCTTGGCATCTGTTCAACATGTCATGTCTAATTACGCCAAATAATGTCCAGCTTACTTTGTTACACAATGTCATTTATAGTTGAAAAGTTTCATTTTAAATAAAAGTTTATTGGTTTCTAGTGTTTGTATAATATACAAAATAATGCCCCGATGGTGTGCTCTTCAATTTTTTGCACATTTTTTTAATTCTCTTTTAAATTTTTCTACTTTTATAAATACCCGTAGTTTGGTTTATCCATTTATAATCCAACTAATATAAAATAGAACTAAGATTTTTATATGAGAGAAGGTAAACGAGCATGCGGCTCACCTGATGGTAAGTGACTACCGCCGCCCAAGAACAACTGCAACACCAGGGGAATTGCAGGTATATTAACAGCCTTTTAAAAAGGAGTAGACTTTTTTAAGGTCTCTTAGTCATATCGGTCCAGAAAAACCGCTGGTAAGAGTCGATTCCACAAAGAAATTGTACGAGAAAGGAAACTTCGGGTAAATCGCACAGTGATGGACCGACAATCATCCAAATGGTATGGATATTATCGCGATTTTTGTCGCGATGTGCGCTGGTGAAATTTGCTCTTGGAATTAGTCTGAACAATTCCTCTGGCCACTCCTCGTGATATATGCGATAGGATATTCATAGGGACGCAATATCTCTTAGCAGCGCCAATGAATCAAGCCCATCAGAAAGAACTCGGTCGACGACGATTTGAGCCGCTCTACGCTGGATGCTATCAAGTGGAAGAAGCTAGCACTGGGGTGCCCCTACCCAGAGATGAGAACAGTATTCCATGTAAGGCCGAACTTACGCCTTGTAAAGTTGCAAGCGGTGTGCCGGCATGAAATACTGTCCCCCTCTTCAAAGCGCGCCAAGATTTTTAGAGGCCAATTGGCCTTCCCTTCCAAGTGACCGCGAAACTGAACGTCATTCGATATGTCGACGCCTAGGATTCTGATACTGGCTGAGCAACGAGCGCAGTGCCCTGAAATTGAAGAGATGCGACAAAGGGGTTCTTTTTATCGGTAAATACACAATCTTGTGTCTTCTGGGAATTGAATTGGGCTAGATTTAGTTGCCCTCAATCTGAGATTTTGTTCAACAAAGACTCGACTTCATACACAAGTTTGATCCGGCACTCGACGACGTGTTCCCGAGAAATATTAACATGGCCGGTGTATAAGGCATCGCCAGTGCTATCATCTGCATAACAATGACTGCTATTGGTTTGTAACATATCGTTAATATACAGAAGGAACAGGGTAGGCGATAGAACGCAGCCCTGTGGAACGCCAGCATTCTCTGGCTTGGAATCGGAGCATGCACCGTCAACAACGGCCTTAATGCTCCGATCTCCGAGAAAACTGGTATATAGTGCTCCTCGAGGTATCGCATAAGCTGGCATCTCATTATGGATTCCATCATTTTCGAGAACAAGGAAGTGGTGGAGGCGTGTACTTGGGCGGAACAGAACAGTTACCTTTTTCAGGGATCGGGTGCACGGAAGCTGTCTTCTATGATTTCGGAAGTAAGTCTAGGGACGAGGATTATCAGAAAAGACGCGTTAGAACCGGTGCCAACTGTAGAGCACACGTCCTCAGCACAATTGGGGGGATTCCGTCAAGTCCACTGGACCTGTGGATGTGTCCAGAAGGAGTGCTTTGCGTACTGAGCACTGTGTGAATCGCACGTCGGGCACTAACATCGTGGAATGTCGGCGGTATGTTCCCCTGTCATCGAAAGTCGAGTTGGAAGCAAAAAGGGAGTCTAAAGAAATGTTCGACTTTCTCTTTTGCAGCGTGAGCCAACGAATCGTCCTTCCCGTGCAGTGCAGATATGGAAGTGATGGCTTACAGAAATTCCCTTGAATGCACGGGTTCCAGAAGGAAGGAGAGCTAATTTCTCGCCGATTTGACAATAACTCTTTTGAAGCACCTGGAGGTGGAGTTATACTTCTTTCTAAGGATACTGGTGTTTACATCTTAGGCCGCTGATGCGTCAGCCCAAGTCTGAAAACACTACTGCTTACGCTTTTTCTGCCGACTTTCAAAAAGGAGACGGTACTCAATTCGACTGTATGTTTTTTTTATGTGTGTTACCTAATAACTTTTTACTGGGTGAACCGATTTCGATGATTCTTTTTTATATGAAAGCTGATACTTCTCGTGTGGTCTCATATGAATTTGATCAAGGTCAGACCAATAGTTTTTGAGTTATTCTTAATAACTTATATTGAAGTCGGCTGTACAACATTTTTAATTTTAAATTATCTTTACTGCACAAGGAAACATTAACCCTTATATTTTTCCATTAACTTTACTGCCCCTGCCATAAAATTTGTCATATTATATTTCACACCTCATCCCTGGTGGCAGAAAAAATTGTGGATGAACCCTCATGACTTTTACTTATTTTATCTATACTTTAAACGCGCTAATCTCTGGAACTACCAGTCCGATTTGAAAAATTATTATTTTGTATATTATAGCCAGATTCATGTGGAATAGTATAGGCTATCTAGCATTAAGTTATATTACTCAACTAGCCTAAAATATGGATATTTGTTAAGCAAGTCAGAAGAAAAAGCACTCCCGAAATGATTTATCCGCGTACGCTGGTGTTATCGTTAGGGATACGTAAATACAATGTTCTAGAAAAATATAGACTTTTACTCCGTCTAAAAAAAAATTTCGCGATACCATATGTCTATTTCTTATACATAAGCCATAATTTGGTATATTGTGACAAAAAAATATTGAAAATTTAAGTGATTTATGAGCGTTATTATTAGGCATGGCCTATTTATCCTTACGAACGAAATTGCTTCATCATCAAGACAATTTTATGAAGATAAACTTTGTTCTTTATACCATGTTATTTGGACGCATAGTTTAAGAGATAATGTAAAATTAAAATAATTCAATACTTGGCTGGGCGCGCGAACGACGCTTAAACCCTAGCCGTTATAAAATGCTTAAACTAGGTCATGTCGCGCACCTCGGACACGTGATGACGCGGGTGAAACCGCGGGGCACAGCTAGTATTTAATAAAAGACAAACAAGCAGTGCAGTGAACACTAACTTTGATGCTAAGATGGGTTTTGCACTATCTCAGCATTTTCTTCGGTCGTGATAGCTCATGGTCTAAGTGCTCATTCATTGATTCATTACAGAACTTCAAGAGCTCACTGCTGAACTTAGGTCTCACCATAGATTTACTCATAGTAGTAATATGCCCCATACTTGCCATAGATGCCACGTTTGGTGGGCGGGTTTGCAACCGCAGATTTTTATTTTTTCAGTTGTTATTAACAAGACGCTGCTATCCATCTCCTGGTTTGTTTCCCTCTGTCATCTTACGATACCCACGGGAGGATATGGGGCAGGGGATATTCTTACACTGGTCAATGTAGCTCAGGTGCTAAGTGCTCGCGGTGAATTGACACTCTACATAAACAACCAAAGTTCGACTCCTGCCTCCGGCATCAATAAAATTACTTATTGAAAAAAATTACAATTTATTTGACTTACAAATAAGATGATCGTTTTGGGCCCACTAGAAACTTTAACGTAACTTAATTTTATTACACATAAATAAGATACCAATTTATTATAGTAAACGGTTTTATGAAAATCTAACCGGAATCATGATATTTGAAAAAAAAAAAAGACTTGTTTTGATATTCGTGTTCTGGCTAATGTAATATGAAAAGAAAAATGCGTGTAACTAAGAACGAACTACTGAAGGGATTTTCCACTAATCTTATAGTACTGTTGCGTGCCACAATTAATACCACTAGCGCCCTCTAGTATAGAATAGCAGAACTAGGAGGGTCAAGAACTTTCTAAAAATGGCCATGGAGGAACTTTCTGGAACTACCGACACCTAGTCAATCGGGATCGATATGTACTCGAACATTCTAGATATTTGTACAGTAGAAGGTTCTGAAAACTATCTGAGGCCCTACATAAGGCCGGTATAGACCGCAACCGGGGCAGTATTGAATTGGCGATACAAGCGAATACTTCGAAGCGATACAACTGCGAACTAAAGTGATCAGTAGTACAATTGTGTTTAATTATTAGTGTGGTTTAAGTTGTAATTAGTGCTCTGCAATGAAAGTGTCAATTTTGGTAATTCACTCGGCAGTTTTTAATTGTCTCGAACCCCAAGCTCGTAACAGCTGAATGTACCTACAACTTTTTTAGACCATTAATCATTGACCAGTGCACTATTTTAACTTATAATCGCTTTTAGTTTGTTTTTAGGTTATTGGGATATTCATTTTTTAATTGTTAATTTCTCATTATTCCCGTTAGATACTACGTTGCTTCGTACCAAATGTTAAGATTCTCAGTTCACGGGAAGTACCCTGTAGGTTTTGATTCCCTTGCGAATATCGAAACTTTGCGGCATAAACGGCTGTATCTTTTGATTGCGTTGGCTTAGAAGTTTGATTTTTTCACAGCTCCAATGAACAGTAAACTTGAGTATTTGATATAAATTTCAGCTTCATATCTCCACGCGGTCCTGAGAAAAAGTGTCTTGACAGACAGACAGACAGACGGACAACAAAGTGATCCTATAAGGGTTCCGTTTTTTCCTTTTGAAGTATGGAACCCTAAAAATACAAATGCTGCCCGCGTATTTAATACCATGCCGTACCCTTAGTCCTTTACCAACAAGTATGTATGCGTCCACTTTTTTTTTATAGAATAAGGTTGAAAAACGAGCACACAGTCCACCTGTTGGTAAGTGGTTGCTGTGGCCCATAGACATCTACATTTATCCTCGTTTGCGAATCAAAATGCAAATGCGTTGTCACCCGTGAGGACTAAGATGGAATACCTCTTTTCCAGTAAAAAGGGTCTCCGGTTCTCTATACTCACCATACGAAACACAGCAGCATCAAGCTGCTATTTTACGCTGGAATTCTATGAGAAAGTGGTCCAATCCCGGACGAGCCGACCCATTCGTGCTACAAATATACTACAATATAGCTGCAGCGTGGCTCTACCACATACAATGTAGATGTCTATGAGCCACGACACACACTTACCATCAGGTCGACTGTGTGCTCCCTTCTCACCTTTATTCTACAGGAAGTAACTTTCAATATGGAGCATTTTTAGAGGCCTATTAAATAAAAATGATGATGATATAGACCAAATATAACTATATAAAAGAAATACATCTTTAAATTCCCATCTTACCAGACTTAACCTCTTGCTTTGGCTCAGCATCCCGCTGTACGCTGTCAGGTGAATCGATCTCCGAATCACTGGCGTCGATCACCGGCTGACAATCGGTGAACGCCCACGCTGTCTGCGGAAAACAATATTTGTTACTCATCGTAATTTTATAAAAGAAAGCAAGAAAGAAAACATTAATATGAAATTCGTAGTACAAATTACAAATCTATATACAAATAAATAAAATTCATGTGTCTGTTCGTAATATCAAAATAACAGCTTTTTGCTAAAATCACATGAAAGTATATACGGTACTTATAACAACTTTTTCCGTCTGTCTGTCTGTTGTTCTGGTTAATATGCTAAATGGCTGGACCGATTTTTACGGAACTTTCACTGGCAGATAGCTGATGTTATAAGGAGTAACTAAGGCTACTTTTATGTTAGAAAAAGAATGATGGTTCCGAGCACAAAAACTAAATCCCATGAAATCAAATCGTAATAAATTCCACGCGGATAAAGTCGTGGGGAACAGCTAGTTGGTAATAATGCTGTTTTGTGATATCAAAACGATCCCGCGTCAGTGGTAATCTGTGTGGTACCATTGCCTTTCAGTCGGGACCTTAACTGACTCACGAACAACCGGACATTGGTGTAAAAAAGGAGTTAAATTAATTAAAAAAATATGAAATATGATAGCAAGACGTAGGCTTTCTTATATAGAATAACGGTGACAAACGATAGTTCACCTAATGGTAAGTGGTTGCTGTGGCCCATAGACATCTACATCTATCCCCGATTAAGAATCAAAATGCAGATGCGTTTTCACCCGTGAGGACTAAGATGGAATACCTCGTTGCCAGTGAAAAGGGTCTCCGGTTTTCTGTGACAGCGTGGTCCTTCCCCGGTCGAGCCGACTCATTCGTGCTACTACTATACAATTAATATAGCTGCAGCATGACTCTACAATGTTGTAGTATATAAGAGGGTACTGAATATTTACATACCCGTTTAAAGTAATATTGACGTCTCTTAGTAGTGCCCGGTCTAGCTGAATCGTTGAGCTCAGTTGCATCACCATTGATATTAGCACAGTTATTAACCGAGTTGCTGGCCCCCTCCAGCTCTGCAGCTTTGAAGTTCTCTTTACCTGAAATAATACTGGATGATCACTAAAAAAGCCCAACAAAATTCCACTAGTGAACATAGATTTACCACGTATTGCCACAAAGCGTAAAATAGTAGTATTGAGATAACCCAATTTCCTAGATACAGATCACGATTTAATTTATATATAGATCCTGAATTAAGGTTCCCAGTGTGTGGCTGCCACTGTTTCCATAATCATCAGGTTCATGGAAAATCATGATGTTTCCACAATCATCAACCTTTAAAGGTATACTAATTGTTTCATTATTTTACTTATAATTGCTCATCACAAGTCCACAGCTGAAAATAAGTCTCCACCAAGGAATGCCACAAAGCAGCCGTAAGCCACCTTCATTCATCGACTTCCTGCATCTCTTACCAAGTTATCACTTCATCAAGTGGGAGGCTGTCCTACATTTCACGTACTGCTATGAAGCTGCCACTCGAGAACCTGTTTTTCCCATCGTTTGTCGGTTTTTCGACCTATAAGGCCAAACCATTTCCGCTTCAACTTACTTATCCGTTGCTCTATCTCAGTTACTCTGGTTTCATTGCGGATAACGTCATTAAGAAGCTTATGGTACAGAGAAACTCTCAGTATAGCCCACTCCATAGCTCGCTGAATGACCTTGAGCTTTCTCATACAGCCAGCAGTGAAGGACCACGTCTCAGATCCAAATGTCATCACTGGCAACACGCACTGGTACACTCTCGTTTTCAAGTTTTGAGGTATACGTGACGAGATGTGTCGGTAATTTCCTGGACGCTGCCCAGTTGATTTGGATCTATCGAATGAGATTTTGTTCGAAGTTGGACTAACCTAGTCGATCAATTTGTTGGTTTTGAACTGAGTTAATGGCGCAAAGGAGATGTATGAAATTGGGTTGTTGACATCGTTCGTAACAGTTATACAAAAATATGTGGGTAATATAACGATTAATTATAAGCATAATTATATGGTTTTTATTTCTGTACTGTATGGGACAATCATAAAACATTTTTTAAAACTGAAAAACGAAAGCTAATGCTTTTACCATAGCAAAAACAAAACGTTTTTAAATATTTTTATGTATTTTGTCTATGGCATTAGATAATGAAGACTATTTTTTGTAATAAGTAGCCTTCAGTATCAAAAAATCTTATAATATTGAAACATTGAGGCGAATCTGTAGAGATTAATAATGAATAAAAGAAATCTATTTAGGAAATCGATTGCTACATTATGAAACTAAATAAAATACTTGAATAATATTGGACACGATTTAATAGGCTGTATGGTCGTTGATCATTGCCTGTTTTGAAGGAGACTTAACTTGGTAACTTCGAGTTTAAACTTGACATGCATATTTGACATTGTGGTTGTGTTTGTGGATATATTTCGTGTTTTTATTTTCGTGAATTAATTTAACTTGACCCCTGGGTTTTCCCTCGATTTACAGGACAGTAAGTTGTTGCGCTCACATAATGATTAATAATGTGTTACTTGGGTTTTGAGAGGAATAGAACAGACAATGTACAGCCTCCGGCTGCTTTTCTAGATGACATTTTATTAATAATTGCAAAAAATAATTAAACAATTAGAAAAGTTTGAGTTGTAATTTGTTTTGTTTTATTTAATAATAAATAAAAAACGGCATCCTTTTGTTTTTTTTTTTCAATTTATTGAAACAACTTTTCACCAAGAACGAGTGATTTTACTACGTAACCGACAAATAATAAGACAAAGTAAAACCAAAACCCCAGGTCCTACAAAAATATGATTTTTTGTCATAAGTAACAAATGTTTAAGTCTTCAAATTAAGATATATTTGAACTTTGTTTACGCCGGGCCCAAGCTTGTATGGAACGAAGTTCATCTCTTTTGAGTTTCTGAGAGATGACTATACATTTGTGCCATTTGCTGTAGAGACTCGATAGTCTCTACAGCGAATGGCCTAAATGGAATCGACCCGCGGGGTTCACGCGGGATTTAGTTTCTCAAAGAACTGTCTCCCCGACTTGTCATCGCCGCTGGACACAAGTGAGCTGGTTTTTTTCTTTCCCAAAGGTTAACTATAGCCATTCAGCGAGGGAACGTAGCAGCATTCTTGGCACTATACAGCAGGGAGGTGCGACTGTATGATAATTTTAGTTTATAATTTCTTATACTATAATAATTATTGTTATCTGAATAAAATAGATTAGAATAAACAGTTCAAGTTCTCTCATAGACATGTTAGCTTCATCAGAAGTAGACCAAAGTTGTTAATAGGTTTCATTAACTATAAGTACAAGTCGCGACACGTAAGTCTAGCGCTGATAGAAACGTGGAGGGGACGCGCACGAATTCAATTGCACGAATGCGACTAGATAGCCAATCAGCGCGTGCGAACGATACGCACGAGCCAATCACCGCGACTTGTACGCAATAAGTCAATCGGGACGACTTATGCACAATAAAAGTCACCGCTAGACTTTCGTGCAGCTACTTATATCATACTGTGTGTTTGTGTGTTATCGGAATTGGTAGAAACATCGTCAACATCAAGTGGTATGGATAAATATTGTTACGAGCTTGGGGTTCAAGATAATTAAAAACTGCCGAGTGAATTACCAAAATTGACTATTTAATTACACAACACTAATTATAACTTAAAATCACACTAATAATAAAACACAGTTCGCCGTTATTTCGCTTCGAAGTATTCTCTTGTATCGCCAATCCAATACTGCCTTGGTCGTGGTCCATACCGGCCTTATATAGGGCCTCAGACAGTTTCCAGAACCTTCTACTGTAGCGACATCTAGAATGTTCGAGTACATATCGGTCCCGAAATTTCTGGAAGGATCTCGACTCTCCTAGTTCTGCCACTCGACACTAGAGGGCGCTAGTGTAACTAGTGTTGCCATGTACAAGACATTAATAGTGGCGCGCAACACTTTCTTTTACTCGACACTAGAGGGCGCTAGTGTAACTAGTGTTGCCATGTACAAGACATTAATAGTGGCGCGTAACACTGCCCCCTCCTAAGACATGCTCGTCCCGAGCATTATTGGCCCCATAATAACGCGCCAGTCGATCCACATGGACAATCTTAGGAGTACCTCTAACACCTTTCTGTATCCGGTAGGTTACGTCATTGATCCTTGTCACAATCCGGTATGGTCCGTCCCATTTAGCTTGAAGCTTAGGAGATTTCCCTTTGCTGCGAACTGGATTGTGTAACCACACTAGTGAACCTTCATCAAACCCCTTGTTGTTCATTTTGCGGTCATACCGTGTTTTCATCTTCTCAGACGTTTGCTGGCCCGTCTGTCTGACGTGCTCATAAATGTCATTCATTTTGTTCCGCAAGTCATTTGCATAATCGGTTGTACTGCGTGGGGCATCAGGTGGTATTCCGGTGATCAGGTCTGCAGGCAGCCGCAATTCTCTCCCAAAGTTTACGAAAGCTGGTGTCACTGATGTACTTTCGTGAACAGCGCTTCGATATGACAACAAAAACGGTTGTATGTGCCTGTCCCAGTCTCGTTGCCGTTTTTCCACAACTTTTGCCAGGTACCTTTCCAATGTCTGATTAAATCGTTCTACCATTCCATCAGATTGTGGGTGGTAAGAAGTTGTTCGTGTTTTATGAGTACCCATAACTCCGCAAGTTTCCTGGAATATTTGAGACTCGAAATTCCTTCCTTGATCACTGTGAATCTCTAAAGGTACTCCAAAACGACAGAAGACTTCATGAACTAGTTTATCTGCAACTGTTGAAGCTTCTTGATTTGGAATGGCGAAGACTTCTGGCCACTTAGTGAAGTAATCCATCACAACCATGAAATACTTGTTACCACTTTCAGTTTCTGGAAACGGCCCCGCAACGTCAATGGCTATCCTCTCCCATGGTGCACCAACATTGTACAGTTTCAATGCGCCTCTATTACGAATTTGAGGTCCCTTTACAGCCGCACAACTTGTACATTTGCGGCACCAGTCCTCGACATCGTCACGACAGTGGACCCAGTAAAACCGTTCTCGGAACTTCAGGAGAGTTCGTTTAACTCCCAGGTGGCCTCCTGAACAACCACTATGGTACAGCTGTAGAACATCCGGCACTATAGCCTTAGGGACAACCATTTGCAAATGACACCTGTCTCCCCGACCATTTTCCCATTTACGGCACAGGACTCCATCCTGAATCAGCAAGCTGTCCCATTGGGCCCAATAGCTTTTCGTGGTCGAACTCATTGCTGAGACGTCGCTCCACTTGGGCTTAGGAGCACTGGCCTTCATCCATTCCAGAATCGGCTTAATGTCCGAATCTTCCTGCTGTGCATGTTGTAGGCTCTCCTTCCACTCATTGCTGAGCTGGTCTGTCCTGAGCATTCTCACAGATACCACTTCCTTACCCTCTTGCCTAGTACAATGCTTGCAATCTTCAGGGCAAGGTCTTCTTGACAATGCATCTGCATTGCCATGAGATTTCCCGCTGCGATGTTCGACCACAAAGTCGTATTCCTGCAGTAGTTCAATCCATCTCGCAACTTGTCCTTCCGGATTTTTGAACTGCAATAGCCATTTCAGTGCAGCATGGTCAGTTCGTAAGTGGAATTTCCGCCCTAGAAGATATTTGCTAAAATGCTGCAAGGACTTTACCACAGCAAGCAATTCCCGTCTTGTGACACAATAGTTCCTTTCCGGCTTTGACAACGACTTGCTGAAGTACGCTATCACAATCTCTTGATCACCATTCCGTTGAGACAACACACCGCCAAGTCCTATATCACTTGCGTCTGTGTCAACTATGAATTCCTTGCCCGCATCAGGGTACCCCAAAATAGGTGTATTGCAACTTTCATCCCAGCAGAATTGTCGCTTCTCCTCGGTTAGCTTGTGCAGAGGTTTGGCTATATCTGCAAAGTTCTTCACAAATCGCCGATAATAAGAGCACAAACCCAAAAATGCTCTAACCTGTGTCTTGTCTTTTGGGACCGGCCACTCCTTGACAGCAGCAATTTTCTCTGGATCCGTGCGGATACCTTCTTCCGACACTACATACCCCAAAAAACTAACTTGCCGTTTGAATAGTGAGCACTTCTTTGGACTCAACTTCAGGTTGGCACTCTGGATCTTCATGAGCACGCGTTCCAGGTTTTGAAGGTGTTCCTCAAACGTACGGCCTACGATGATGATGTCATCCAAATAGACGAGACAGGCATCTCCAATTAGCCCGGTAAGTACAAGCTCCATCAACCTTTCAAACGTTGCTGGAGCATTGCACAATCCAAACGGCATGACTTTAAATTGCCACAGGCCCTTTCCTGTGGAGAATGCAGTTTTCTCCTTGTCCTTAGGGTCAATTTCAACCTGCCAGTAGCCACTTTTCAGATCCAGCGTACTAAACCACTTTACGCCTGTAAGCATGTCCAGCGTGTCATCAATTCTTGGCAAGGGATAGCTGTCCTTTGTAACATCGTTCAGGCGGCGGTAGTCAACACAAAACCGCATGCTGCCGTCCTTCTTCTTTACCAGCACCACAGGTGAACACCATGGACTAGATGAAGGTTCAATAACACCATCCTTCACCATTCCCTCAATCATGGTTTCCACTTCCTTTTCACGTGCTACAGGCAATCTTCTTGGCCGCTGACGAATAGGCAATTCTTGTCCTGTGTTTATTTTGTGTTGAACTAAGCCAGTCTTTCCTATGTCAGCTTCGTTTGACGAGAAAACATTGGCGTACTTGAGTAACAACTTCTTCGCTTTGACCGTTTCATTCGGGGAGAGAACGCTGCGACAGTCTTCTAAAAGTGTGGTCACTCTAGTCTGTCCATCCTTGCTGGGGGTCCCAGTCGATAGATATTCGCACCGATGCAACCAATCCACTTCCTCACTAGTACCAACCAATGTGCCTTTTTCTATAATCTGTTCCTGATCACAAAGGTTCAGCATACGTACTCCTGAGATGTCGGTGGTTCTGACCAAGGTTCGAGCCACTTTCCATGGAAGGTCATTGTCTACCCTTTCCACGAGTACACAACGAAGAGTTTGCCCAGGATTCCGTGGAAGTCTAACCGGCACAATCGTTTCCGATCTCGGCGGAAGAACAATCTTCTTAAGGCTGTACACATTCCCTGGTAACGCCCCTTCCACGAAAAGTTCCTCTTGTCCACATTTCAAAACACCTTGCTTAACGTCGATCTCACAACAATTTTTTCTCATAAAGTCTAGGCCCAGGATGCAGTCGTCCATTATATCAGCCACGATGACATTATGCAGATAGATCATGTTGCCTAGCTTCAACTCCATCTCCTTCTCTCCACGGACGGGTATGCGCTGACCGGTGGCTGTCACCAAATTAATGCGTTCTCGGTTGTATGCGGAGTCCCCAAGAAACCGACTTATAAGTTGGGAACTGACAACCGTGCGAGAGGCTCCAGTGTCTATGGTCAGTTTACACGGCGTTCCGTTGACTTCGCCCTTGATGATTAGGCTGTTCCCATCATGGGTTTGTGAGATCGAAATCCTTGGGGCTCTTTTAACATCAGCCAGCACCCGCCCCGCAGTTCTGGCTTTTACTCGTTTCCCTGCTGCTGCTGGGCGGTGCTATTATCAGCACTACCCTCTCGAGATCGATCACCTTCCCTTTCTACAGTTCGTTTAGGGCAGCTGGATCGAAGATGGCCCCTTTCCCCACAGCCGTAGCACCTAGGGCTGTAGCCCTTATTGCGGTCCTGAACTGTAGCTGCTGCAACCTCCCTGACGCGGTGGGAACGATGATCCTGCCGCACGGCTTCCACCTCCAGTGCATGGGTCAAGGCGTCCTTAAGCGTCTCGTGGTGCCCGAGCCTCACAGCAGCTCTGACTTCAAGGTCGTGGATGCCGTCGATGAATGTCTGCACTAGGTTCCCTACAATGAGCGCAGGTACAGACTGGTACGCTTTTCGAACCAGCTTCTCCACCTCAAGCGCCCACTGCTGCAAGTTTTCGTTACTGCGTTGCACGCGATCTTTGAGCTGCGCACGAAAGACGTGTTCCAGGTGAGCATCGCCATATCTCGCCTCCAATGCCTCAAGGAGCTGCTCGTAAGTCACGTCCTTACCGAGAGCTTCCAGAACAGTTAAGGCCTGGTCGCGTAGGCCTAGGGTGAGAGCAGTCATGGCCTGACTTTTATTCCAGCCGTTCGCTTTCATGACAGCCTCGAACTGGATTTTGTAGGCCGACCAGGAAGAACTCCCGTCGAACGGCGGCACTTTGAATCCACGTAGCGAAGGTGTTGTAGCTACCACGGGACCTGTAACTCCTTCCCCAAGTTTGAGGTTGTCCAGCGTTTTCTTAACGTCAGCCATCACGTTGTCAACCCGATTGTACACTTGGTCGATTCGAGTTTCAGCTTCGGACAGGCGGTTGTCATATCGTGCAACCTTATCCTTCACCTCCCTTATCTCTTTCCCAAAGCTAGCGTGAAGGTCCTTCATGAGAAGTATCTGCTCTTCCTTATCACGTTTGAGCTGCTCTTCCAACCGGCGGCCCTGTTCCTCCTGTCCACGCTGCGACTGCTCTTCCAACCGACGGGCCTGTTCCTCCTGTCGGCGGGCTTGATCCTGCAGCATCATCATCAGAGCACCTAAGTCAGGTGCTGCAGATGCTGGAGCTGCTGACGCGCCGGCCTCCGTGGTCAGCAGCTGGCCCTCCGACGTTTGCGGTGATGCATTACCAAGTCGTCTCTGGTCGGTCTCCAGCTGGCGTTGTATAAAAGTCATCCGTAATAAAAGTCACCGCTAGACTTTCGTGCAGCTACTTATATCATACTGTGTGTTTGTGTGTTATCGGAATTGGTAGAAACATCGTCAACATCAAGTGGTATGGATAAATATTGTTACGAGCTTGGGGTTCAAGATAATTAAAAACTGCCGAGTGAATTACCAAAATTGACTATTTAATTACACAACACTAATTATAACTTAAAATCACACTAATAATAAAACACAGTTCGCCGTTATTTCGCTTCGAAGTATTCTCTTGTATCGCCAATCCAATACTGCCTTGGTCGTGGTCCATACCGGCCTTATATAGGGCCTCAGACAGTTTCCAGAACCTTCTACTGTAGCGACATCTAGAATGTTCGAGTACATATCGGTCCCGAAATTTCTGGAAGGATCTCGACTCTCCTAGTTCTGCCACTCGACACTAGAGGGCGCTAGTGTAACTAGTGTTGCCATGTACAAGACATTAATAGTGGCGCGCAACACTTTCTTTTACTCGACACTAGAGGGCGCTAGTGTAACTAGTGTTGCCATGTACAAGACATTAATAGTGGCGCGTAACAATATTTATTTCTTACCAATGGGCATCAGCTGATTGTCAAGTTCCCCAGACTTGTGCAAAATCCTGCACGCCTGTAGGGCCACCATACGTCTGGCTAGAACTCTGGTCGGCATAGGGTGTCCCTGAAAATCACAGATAGAGGATAATATTATAATAACAAATTTTATCAATATAAAGGCGATCAACAATCCTATCGCTATATGGAAGTAAAGTGACAAATGTGTGTCCAAGAACTACCTGGCAGCTGCAAAATAAAAATTCCATGCTGGAATTTCGACTGGAAAAGGAAAAAGAAGAAGAGGATGAGTAAAAGGAGGAAGGGGTGAAAAAAAAGATCAGGTAAGGACCACACTGATAGGATACCAGCATGAAATTACTGCTTCATGCTGCTGTGTCTAGTATACTGAGTGTAAAGACTTTTTCTACTGGAAACGAGGCATTCCATCTTAGTTCTCAGGGGTGACAATACATCTACATTAGCTTTATCATGAAACAAAGATGTAGTCATCTATGGGCCTCAACATCCACTTACCATAAGGTGGACTATGTGCTTGTTTCTCACCCTCGTTCTATAAAAAAAAAGCACTCTAATTACTTAAAATATACTTACCACAATATTATATTTTACAGGGCAGTTAAGAGGCAGCCGAAGGGTACAGATGAAAGCTTTCCGCATATTCCCATCTCTGTCTGGCAGTAGCACCTCCTCCATCCACCACTGAGGAGCGAGGCGAGTGAATGTATCCGATGGTAGTTTACCACAATACCTAATAATAAGGAACGCAATAGTATATAATCATTATGTGTTGCCTTTTTTTTTTTGGAAAATACATTTTTTTTTTATAGTATAAGGGTGACAAACGAGCACACAGTCCACCTGATAGTAAGTGGTTGCTGCGGCCCATAGACATCTACATCTATCATCTGTTACAAATCAAAATGTAGATGCGTTGTCACCCGTGAGGACTAAGATGGAATGCCTCATTTCCAGTAAAAAGGGCCTCCGGCTACCTGCACTCACCAAGCGAAACGCAGAGGTAAACCTCTACTTCACGCTGGTTTTCTGTGAGGTCGTGGTACTACCCCGGTTCGAGCCGGCCCATCCGTGCGACAGCAAAAGCTGCCGCGTGGCTCTACCACTGTTAAATATCAATAGACACAACATCAATAGAACGCAGCAAATCTACCTTATGTTACCATTATCATCGTTATTATCAGTACAGGTTGAACCCTGGGTTGGGCCAAAATCTGTTATAGCTTTATTCTGTCAAGAAATTCTCAAGCTCAGAGTAGGATGTAGGGCTGTATTTCACCTTAAATTAAGCTTGCATGGTAGAGAATGCCTTAAGGCGTTCAAGTCAACCCTTTCTAAAAGTAAAATAAAAGTAGCCTAAGTTACTCCCTATGACATCAGCTATCTGCCAGTGAAAGTCCCGTCAAAATTGGTCCAGCCGTTTCAGAAATTAGCCGGAACAAACATACAGACAGACAGACAGACAAAAATTTTAAAAATTGTGTTCTTGTTATAAGTATCGTATATACTTTCATATGCATTTAATAAAAAGCCGTAATTTTGACATTACAAACAGACACTTCAATTTTATTTATTTGTATAGAAGTATTATACATTTGTAGATTGTTTAATTGATTTTAATTATAATAATGATATTCCAAAGACTAGATACTATCTCCACTACTTGTCTAGTAATAATATAATGATGATCTTTATCTAATAGCAATGAGCATAACCTAAATTATTTGATAAAAAATAAAAAACTTTTGATTTACGTCAAACTGTGAATTTTAGTGTAATTGATCCTTTTCTAACATTTTATTATTCTGATAAACGGAATAGAATCTTAAGTAAGAAGAAGGAGGGGGGGGGGGGTCGAGACATCTTACGTAACCTTACATGAGGGTAAGGGGGGTCAAAATCCTTACGTAATTAATGAATGTCTCCTTACGCCATTAATTTATACAAAGTGAAAGACAGTTCTTTAATATTTACCGAAAAGTACAAAGACTATTATTTCATCAAATTCTTCATCGAATCACGACAAAATATACAAATAACAATGTTTGTGTTTAGTAATCTAAAATATGAATACCTATGTGTAAAATGTCAACTTATGAGTCAATATTTATTTTCTACGCTTGACAATGATATCAATCTCTTCAACCTTCTGTATGACATTATCCTGTATGGCTGCCTCGTTGGTCCAGTGGTGGTCGAGTGCGACTGCTGGTCATGAGGTCCCAGGTTCGAATCCCAGATCGGTCCAAAAAAATTCAGTTATTGAATTTTTCCATCAAGGAATTCTCAGTAGCTGCCCCGAGTCAGGAAGTTGACGGAGTCTCACTCCTGTTGCCTCGGAAAGCACGTAAAGGCATTGGTCCTGCGCCTGATCTCTCTCCGGTCGCATTGGTTTACCGTCCCATCGGACAATGAGAATGAGGGAATAGAGAGCACCTGTGCTTCAGCATACGCTTGGGCACTATAATGCTGTCCTGAGCCGATGGCTAGTCTCCATTGAGACTGGCCGTCGTGACCGAAATTCGGTATGGAGGACATTATGACATTATCATAAGTAAAATTTTGTGAAGTTATTAATAATATCTACCGCTAAGAAAACAAAAGTAATTAATATGGGTGTATAATAATAGTAAGGAGGGCTACAAATGTGTACTCTAGTACTCTATACACTTCAGACTGGAACGGAATCACAACAAGCACTGATATTTGGCAGTAGAATTCCCGAAATCCACTGTACTTTACATTATTACATAGTTGGTATGAAAACTATTATAATATGTCTTTTTTATATTTTTTTATACATAAGGTGATCAGGGGTGACACGCATCTGCATTTTAATTCTTAGATCAATGTATATGTCTATGGGCCAGTGGCCTAGTGGTGGATTGTGTGCTCACTTGTCACCTTTATTCTATAAAAAAAAATTACCATTGCGTCGCCTCAGTGCTTGTTTGGCCAACAGACCAATTTAGACGAAAATGACCTTTGAATGTAATGTGCTTAAGAATCAATTTCCACACAGTCTAAATCGAGAATGACTCGCGTAACTATACCAATAAACGAGTAAAAGACGATGTTAAAAATCAATATCCACAGTTACAATTTTAATTTCCGTGCTTGTATAGCTTACCACCACAAATTAACCAACATTCCAATAGTGGAATTCTCCCTGCGAGCTTGTTTGCCGTATATCCCCAAATCAACCAATCACAGGCCCGCTCACTCATGACGTCACACATCGCTGCTCCGCCATATTGTTTAGCTATAATCTATTGCGACGCGAAACGGTGTTAGAACTGCGAGATTTATCAAGTTTTTCGGTAAATTTAGAAATAAAACGAGGTGGAAAGTGTCCGAATAACTTTGAAAATTATGTCCTGGACCAGTTCTGAAAAACGGTATGTCAGCAGTACTGCATACTACGAAATGTAAGTTGATTTTAATCATTGTGGTATTATTTTTGGTTATTTTGTGTTTGTTATACAGGATGGTTTAGAACCATACTTTTATCATATTGTCATACTCACAGCGCTGAATAGTTTGTTCGTTTTTTTTCATACGAGCGAATTTCTGGACAGTCAGAACTGATTTAGACGGGATTTACACTTAAAGATAGTTAATTCGATCCTTAATAATTTAGGATATCCTTTATGAGTGGGAATTTTTAATTTTCTCATGGGAACAGGAAGTACGCGTTTTTTGTTTGTTCTGTTCGTTTGTTTGTTTAGTTTATTTATTTGGTTTGTACGCGCTTGAAGGCGTTATTAAGAGATTCAAGGTTGGAAGGGGTTTTAGGGATTTGTAGGGGCTTAGAGGTTTGTAGGTTTGGTTTTGTTTGGTCTAGTTTGTTTGATTTATTTTTTTTTTAAATTTCGTTTAAATTATACGAGATTGTAACTATGCGGTGCCAGTTCATGTTCATATAATAGATAAAAATTATTTTATTTTATTATGCAAGATTCATTTTTATTTTTTTGAACTGAGTGTATAAATGTCTCCTAACTAATATTATAAATACGAAAGTGAGTTTGTTTGTTAAGCTTTCACGCCTAAACCGCTGAACCAATTTTGATGAAATTTGATACATAGATAGATGCGACCCTGAAGAAGAACATAGGCTACTTTTTGTTCCAGTTATCTGGGGACGGTACTTACGCGGGTAAAACTGTGGGGCACAGCTAGTAATAAAAAAGAAATACAAATACAAAAAAAAATTGACAAAGAAATCACAATAACAAGATAGAAATACATATGGCCCCTGCACTAGGAAACCAAGGTACTTTAAGTTCACTTGTAAACGAAAAATACGCATCGAATACATAGCCTCCGCCTTTTTAGAAGTCGGTTAAAAATAACAAAGAACCGTACGTCGATAATCGAAAAAGTATAAGGTAAATAAAATATAAAGTAATAGTTGCGGCCTGCGCTTTCACCCGCATAGTTCCTGTCGACTTTTCGACAAAAAAGTGAGAGTTCGAGAGCCTATGTGTTACCGAAGATATAAGCCATCCTGGTGCAAAATTTCATCCAAATCCGTTAAGTAGTATTTGCGTGAAAGAGTAAAAACATCCACCTTTCTATCCCCACAAACTTTCACATTTATAATATTAGTAGGGTAAATATAACTGTTTGAAGAAACTTAAAATGGTAAGGATCGTGACACTTGGCGATCTGTTCTCTCTGGCTACCCCGTCAGGGATTGTGCGTGAAGATAAAATGGTACCTAAATTTTAATATAATTTTCAAATAAAAACTAAAAATTTATTTTTCAGGGTTGACAGAGTTAAGAAAAAGTTATTCATGGCCTGTAAAGAGACCGAAACCGTTGAAAAAGGTAACGAAATACTTACCGCGGATTGCGCAAAAACTGTCATTGGTTGCAGAAACGGCAACGGACACGCTCCAAATTATCAAGAAGAAGGCGAACAAACATTCACTGAAAAACACACTATAACGTCAGTAAAAAAATACATTGTTTGCCCTGGCAGTTCAGAACTAGAACTAGAAAGTTCTATCATATTGATTAATAGTAATGCTAGTGACGCTTCAGATGTCGTAAAACAAAAAACCTCAAGAAAGAGAATAAGGTGCCCTGAAAATTGGCAAAGAATTGCAAGGAAAAAAAAAAGAGAAGCTGGGGAAGAATATGTTAATATTAAAGGAAAAAAATGTCCAGCGAAACAGGTTCACGCTGGATGTGACGAAAAGTGCGCATACAACTGCTCAGCAAAGTTTACAGAACAAGAAAGAGAGGACTTGAAAAAGGCATTTTATTCATTAAACGATGCCCAGAAAAACAAATATTACAACGAATTTACATGTAGGGTATGCTCACAAAGGAAAAGAACAGAAGCAGAAGAAAGCAGAAGAAAGTTCTCATATCAGTACTTCTTTTTAAAAAATGAGCAAAAAGTGAAGGTGTGCCAGAAGTTTTTTTGTGGTACTTTGGATATATCGGCAAAAAGAATTTATTATTTCTACAAAAAACTTCATAACAACCCATTGAAATTAATTCCCACACCCTCTGAAGGAAAACACATAAAAAAGCAGACTGCCGAAAACAAAATAGAAGAAGTAATACAGCACATAAAGTCCTTTCCCACACAAGAATCACATTTTTGTCGAGCTAACACAAAACGACAGTACCTCGAAAAAAGTCTATCAATCGCCAAAATGTATTCATTTTATGTAGAGTCGACGAAAGAACTAGTGAAAGAAAACATTTACCGGAAGGTGTTTAACGAAAAATTCAATTTAGCGTTTCATCACCCAAAAAAAGACGCCTGTGATGCGTGTTCTGAATTCAAGGCGATCAAAATTCCTAATGCTGAACAAACGATAAAACACTGCGAACATATAAGAAGAAAAGAGGAGGGCAATAGAGAAAGAGAAAAGGACAGGAAAATAAATGAGACAACAGCTGTTGTCACATTTGATTTAGAATACATTTTTTCTCTTCCAAAAGCCAACATGTCCTGTTTTTATTACACGAGTAAATTAACAGTGTATAATTTGACAGCCCACTGCAATTTGAACAAATCTGCAACTAACGCAATGTGGGACGAGACCAAAAACGGAAGGAGCGGTGATGACCTAGCAAGTGCGTTAGTTAAAATTCTTAAATCCGTAGTGGATAGCTTACCTATTACAGTTACCAAGCTCATCTTATGGTCCGACTCATGCGTGCCCCAGAACAGAAACTCACATATGAGTGTTGCCATAATAAATTTTTTACAGTCACCAGAAGCAAAACAGGTAACCGAAATTACCCAAAAATTTTCCGAGCCAGGGTATGGAAATGTGCAGGAGGTCGATGCAGTACACAGTCTCATTGAACGAAATCTTCGGCATCAGGAAATATTCAGCCCACTGTCATTAATGAGAGCAGTTTTGAAAATTAAATCAAAGGCTCTAACATTTAAGTTCCTTCAGATGGTCGATGACGATTTCCACTGTTACCACGAAGAAGCTGTCAAGTACGGATTTAACCAAATACCATTCTCGAAAGTAAAGACCATTACTTACAATAAATCAAAGTGGAATATATTGCAATACAAAACCAGTTTCCAAGGGCCCACAACGTCCGTGGACATCAATAAAAAAAAGGTTCACATCTTAAGTGATGTAACCGTTAAGGCACCAACAAGTACATTGACACAAAAAAAAATTCAAGACATACGTAGCTCATACAAATATATGCCAGACGAAGATAAAACATATATGGAGACTATAATACTAAAAGCCTTGAAGAAGCCACTCGCTCAGGAAAGACAGAGAAAGGAAAGAAAGCCAGAAAATACAGTTAAAGCAGGAAAGACAGGAAAAGGTGGAAGTACAAGTAAATTACGAAATACAGGAAGAGTGGGTAAGATAGGGAGAGAAGAAAATAAAGGAAAAGCAGGTAAGATAGAAAAAAAAGGAACTACTAAAAAATCTGAAATAACAGGAAAAGTAGAAACTCTGTAAAAGAAGGATATACAAGAAAAGGTAGTATAGCTAAAATTCAACATTTAATTGTAATTCAAGCCTGTTAGATAAGATCCGTAGTCAAGAGATTCATAAAATTTTTAATTAATTTTATATAATATACAATAATGATTCGCAGTAGATTTATTTAATTTCACACCCTGTATCGTAAAGCGAGGCTATAGGGCAAACAAGCACAAAATACTTTTGGTTGCTATTTGGCTAACATCCCAAGAAATGTAGTGTATATCCATTACCGTAATTATAGCTTCGTTTTTTGTCCAATATCCATTTTGAAACCGGTTTTACACAATGTTAAGGCCAAAAGTTTTTTATTTTTACGGATTATTAGAAGCCCAGATGTGCCATAGTTTTAGAAACTACCGAACATTACGGCTTTATTTGAGTCATAACATAGAAAAACAAAAAAACATTGCTCCTGTAAAATTACTCAAATGGTCTGTTAGCCTAACAAGCACTGAGGCGACGATTGGTTAAACTGGCTAAAATCCTTTCCTGTCAACGCATCTATTATATCAACTTACCTATTTATCAGAGCAATAGCGGTACTGAGATCTACACTGACAACACAGTCACTGTCACTACTTTTAACACCTGTCTCTGTTTTACAATTTACACTATCTTTGGAACTATCCACTGATAAACTCTCTATACACTGATTCACATTCTCAACTATCTCTTTAAAACTTTCACTTTTATCACTATTATCATTAACACTATCTTTATTATCTTGAAATTTGCTACTATCATTTCTTGAGTCTATATGTATACAATCTATTTGTTTAACTAACTCTGTAATTATATCATTTTTGATATTTCTTGATTCTTGGATAGTTTCAATTTTATCAACAAAACTCTTTATTTCATTTTCACTTAGACTATCTTCAGAATTTTTCTTTCCATTTATCAATACAGAATCTTCTTTCTCTTTTTTCTCTTCTGATTTGTCTAAACTGGAGTTAGTTTCAATTTTGTCTTTACAATTGCCTTCAATAACTTCAGGTTCAGATTCTTTAAGGTATTTAATTATATTTTTAACATCTTCTGTTTCGGTATTGATGATCTTTCTTTCACATATAACCTTAATCAATTCTTGTAGACATTTCTTAGATACATTTTTGGCTAGATTGACTTCGATGTCCTTAAGGGAAGTGACTGCTTTAGTTTCTACAGGTGAGTACGCCTTAACAACTAGTGTAAAATCATCTGCGTGATTTTCTTCCTCAGGCGGAGGCTCGTCTTGTATACCACAGCCGCATTTCCTGCTAATAATCTGTAACACAGATAATGATATAATATTAATGAGTTATACGGATTAGTATGCCTCATGGTGCGACTCTAGGTGGTGGTAGATTTTACGTCGCTACCATACGGCGAGGAGCCGAGTCTATTTTTTCGGCTTTGTCGCTCGTTTAGCACCACCTGGGGGACACGTGTAAGATTGGCCTAGGGTTAGGTGGTCTAAGCCTACGGACGCGATCGACTCATCCGCCGAACGAACGAGTGAACGGCAGAGTCGAAAAGGGACGCCCTAGACGAAGGTGTATCGACCAAATTGACGAGATATTGAAATTGGGCCAGATTAGCAGTACCCTTATCCGACGAGATGGAGATATTTGGATGTAAGGGTGGCGAAAGAGGTGTGTCAGGATTGTGTTGAAATGGAAGTGCATAGTCTCTGCCTACCCCTCTGAGTGACAGGCATGAGTGTTTATATTATGTTATTGATTAGTCAGCTGAAGTGGCAATGGGCCTGCCATATAGCTCGAAGAACCGACAACTGATGAGGAGAAAAGGTTCTCGAGTGGCAGCCTCGTACCAATAGACTAAGTGTAAGGCAGCCCCCGCTAGGAAAGAGTGACGACCTATAAGAGATGCAGAAAGTCGATTGGTGCAGGTGGCTCAGGACCGTACTTTGTGGCGTTCCTTTGGGGAGGTCTATGTTCGACAGTGGACTTGTACGGGACTTACTTGGATGTAATGATGATGATGGTTAATGGGTAGTAAAATTATATAAATAGGGCACCGACAACTACGATGTATCTACGTGGACGTGGTCTTGAAACATCCTACCGCGAAAGTTGAGGGTTTGGAAAGCACCCTTAGGATAGCCTGAATTAACAGCCTATCGGAGTACGTATGAATATCTCGTGATCCCTCATCGATGCTAAAAGAGACTGCCATAGGGTCTTAGGACGAGTCCGCCATAATCCACCTGTTTCCCATATGGCAGCCAGGTATACAGAATTTCCCCACGTAAAAAGAGACATTTATTTGCCTAGGTTCAGCATCTTTAAACATTTCTGCCGCCAAGCAAGAATGCGCCCATTGTATACGTCATGTAAGTGCGTGTTTGCTTTGTTAGTGATTCAAGAATGTATAAATAAGTAATGGGATGTAATGAGATTTCTTACTTGATCCAGCTCTCGATAAATAGCCAAATGATGTAGCAAGAGCTTGCTATATTCAGGTGCTTCGGCCAACAAAGCCAAAGCCGAACGTGGCGCTCTCGCCCGTCCTCTGCATAGTGAATGTGATCGGTATCTACAGAAAAAAGTAAATACTATTTTAATTTAATTTCTTTATAATACTAACCCAGAATGGATTAGGCCGCCCTTATTAACCCATTCTCTTATAGCCTCCGATAGATGGCGATATAATACGTGGTGGAGGCCAAAAACTGCTAAAACTTCTTCGAGGAGATTTCATGGCTAGAATAATAACAATATTCCTGCCCACACATCAAAATACGTGCTCAGACGTGGAGTTGCGGAAAATAGTCTGTAGTAAACTAAACTACGTGGTAGAGCTACAATGCAGCTGTATTAAGGATACAGCACAAATGGGTTGGCTTGACCGAGAAAGCCAGAATACCAGCATGAAATAGCAGCTTAACACTGCTGTTTCATATGGTGAGCGATGAGAACCGGAAACTCTTTTTAGGGTTCCGTACCCAAAGGGTAACCAATGGGACCCTATTACTAAGGCTCCGCTGTCCATCCATCTTTTTTATAGGATAGAGTGACAAACAAACACATAGTCCACCCGATGGTAAGTAGCTGCTGTGGCCCATAGACATCTACATTTATCCTCGTTTGCGAATCAAAATGCAGATGCGTTGTCACCCGTGAGGACTAAGATGGAATGCCCTTTTTCCAGTAAAAAGGGTCTCCGGTTCTCTACACTCACCATACGAAACATAGCAGTGTTAAGCTGCTATTTCACGCTGGTACCTCGTTTAGAGTCGGGGCGGCATCAGAGGCAGCTGTACTGAGTAAGTGGTGCAAATATGAGTCTCTGAGAGATGACTACATATTTGTACCATTTGTTGTAGAGACTATCGGTCCGTGGGGTCCACGTGCGGTGGAGTTCCTAAAGGAACTTCATCCGCGGCTGGTCGTTGCTGCTGGTGATAAGAGGGCTGGTTCTTTTCTCGCTCAAAGGCTAAGTATAGCCATTCAGCGGGGAAACGCAGCCAGCGTTCTTGGCACGATACCGCGGGGCGTAGGACTATATGATAATTAAGTTACTGGTTTTAGTTTTTTTTTTATTATAGTTTTTAATATTGTATATGATAATGTTTAAGCTCAAATTTCACAATGTCAAATTTTGAGCCTAGACCATAAATAATATTATGTTACACAAAATTTGATATTTTGGAATTTAAACTCGACATGACAACCTTGTAATATATGCAAGAAGTAGATTGCAGATGGATCAGAACCGTGATTTGTGGCATTCCTTGGGGAGGCCTATGTTCAACAGTAGATTTGTGAAGGGATGTAATGATGATGGTGATGATGATTGTCTGCGAACATGACCTATTGTTATTATTGTTACTTACGAAGGTGGAACGTCCCAACGGACTACGAGGTTGCACCGAGGCAGATCTATCCCCTCCTCTAACGCGGGCGTGGCAAGTAGAAGATTGCATTCATGCATACGGAATCTGTAACAAAATATTAAGATGTGTAAAAACCAATATTGATCTTTTTTCCGAGCATCCTTGTTACCACGCTAAAGGCCGTGGGTTCGAATCCCGCCCGGAACATGTATTTATATTGTCTACAAATATTTTTTCCAGGTCTGGTTTGTCCTTGTGTGAAGACTAAATTATTTTTAAAATAATAATAATAATAAATGACCTGTCTGTAAATAAATGATAAATAAATATTTTTTAACTAGCTGTTCCCGGCGACTTCGCCCGCGTGTTATTTGGGATTATAATTTTTTTGCGCGGAACCCTGATTCTTTTTCTAAAATAAAAGTAGCCTAAGTTACTTCTTGTAACATCAGCTATCAGCCAGTGAAAATCCCGTCAAAATCGGTCCAGCAGTTTCGGAGATTAGCCGGAACAAACAGACAGACAGACGGACAGACAGACAGACAGACAAAAACTTTCAAAAATTGTATTTTTGTTATTAGTACCGTATATACTTTCGTATACATTTAGTAAAAAGCTGTAATTTTGACATTACAAACAGACACTTCAATTTTATTTATTTGTATAGATTGTATAGATTAATAACTGTGTCACCACAGTTTGGTATAATTATTACACACTAGCGATCTGTACCGGCTCCGCATGGGTGATTTCTGGATTTCGACAACAGCAACAACTACTGAGTCAAACTGTGAATCGTTATCAATCCTGCCATTTTCGAGTTTTTGCGAGACTAACAGACAGCAATTGATTTGTGTATATATAGAGATAGAAATTGTAATAAACAACAAAAAAACATCATAGCAGTAATATGTCATTTGATCAATGATGTTTCAGTCATATTTTTTTAACTAAATCGGTTAGACGCCATATTGAAAGTGACTAATTTTGAACAAATAAAGCATATATTAATTATATAACAGAATTACACGTATTTTTCTGTTTTTTTTTTTTAACTAGTGAAATCTATGACTTGGCGCATTTGAAAACTGAATATCTCTAATATGCTCACTTCTTCAATACATCCTCTTGCTTCCTGCTCTGACGTTGGCACTCCTTTAACTCGCTTCCGGTTGTTTCATCAGCACAGTACTGGGCAGAGACGTGGTTTAAAGATGGCTTGCTTCTGGTCATATCCTGTAAAGAACAAAAAAATAACGTTTTTCTTCACCAACCTCTAAACATTCTATGGCTTGGGTGCCCTGAATACAAGTGAATTTATTCTTAAAAAGTTTCTGTTTCTCGCTTTAGTTAGCCAGAGATATGACAATAATCGCAAGAAAACAGACCCGAAACTTTTTTTATTTAAGATTTTAGTATCATGCATATGAACAGTCCTACTGATGATAAATGGATACTGGAGATGGACATACAAATAACGGTGAAAAACGAGTGCACAGTCCACCTGATGGTAAGTGGTTGCTGTGGCCCATAGACATCTACATCTATCCTCATTTGCGAATCAAAATGCAGATGCATTATCACCCGTGAGGACTAAGATGGAATGCCTAGTTTCCAGTAAAAAGGGGTCTCCGGTTCCCTACACATACCATTATCTGACCAGGGATCTGCTTGCACTGTGTTCCAATTAGAAGGGCATAAGAGAGTCAGTATGATTACAAGCAGTGAAGCGTTCTATCTCAGATTTCAGAGGTGACAATGCATCCATACTCTTATATGTCTGAAGTTGGCTGCAAGCTTCGCTGTGGTAGAGCCATACCACAGCTATATTATAGTTATAGAGCAAATCGTCGCGACCAGTGAAGGACCACACTCTCACAGAATACTAATGTAAAATAGCAGCTTAACGCTGCTGTGTTTCGTATGGTGAGTGTAGAGAACCGGAGACCCTTTTTACTGGAAAAGAGGCATTCTAACTTAGTCCTCACGGGTGCCAACGCATCTGCATTTTGATTCGCAAACGAGGATAAATGTAAATGTCTATGGGCCACAGCATCCGCTTACCGTCAGGTGGACTGTGTGCTCGTTTGTTACCTAATTCCATAAAAAAATTAACACCACTAGTATCTATAAACATGCAAAGACTTCAAGAACTAGACCATGCACTGAGAATCAAAACAAAAACATACCACAATCAGCATAAATAGAATTTTTGTCATCAGAGGCTCCTTTACAAAAACAATGCCGCATAAAGCGTCGGGATTTTGTTGGGCCTGCTGAATCCTGACGGGATTATTTCGCGGGACCCTTCCTCTTCCTCTAACCCTGTGCCTTGTACCTCTCATAATACTTATATTTCTGTCAGGTTTTGTGCCACTTTGCCAACTATCAACTTTATTTGTATCATTATAAAGTTTACTGTCGTCTTTCTTCACTTCACTATTACTATTCGAACTTATTTCTACAATTCTCAATGAACTATCACTTTTATTTCCACAACTATCCACTGTATTTCCGCACTCATCTGGAACATTTTCAAGTTCCTTCAAATTAGCCTCGTAAGTGTTAACGCGGTCTTCAATTTTGTTGCCGAGAGTAATGAAATCGCAATCATTGATAGCTTTCAACATATTTGTAGTTTTCGAAGTGTTTATTTCAGATTTGGCACTATCAATTGCGTTTTCTGAACTATCAACTCTATTTTCGTCGATTTTGTTGCTCTCTGTTGGTCGGAATTGTTCCAGTATTTCGGCAAATCTTAGTAGTTTCGGTGTACAAAACGTCTGTATTTTCTCCCAATCGTTAAACTGTGAAAATATATTATCTGCAAAAGCACGGATCTTAATGAGGAGAGATGTACACATACATAATAATAAGAAGTGTCTTTCATACGGGACTTTCACTTTCAATTTCTCCAATTTAGTCAGCAAGTAGAATGCTGCCTTATCAGCAGCGTATGGACCTGAAAACAATTAGAAGAAAGTGTTAGTTTTTGTTAGTTTAGCGGCGGGCTATTTTCTGCAACTCCACATCGAAGCGCATACTATATACCATACCTAATTCGTCCAAAATGTAAAGGAATTGATAGAATAACTCCTTAGGTTCTCTTGTAGGGTCTGGTATATTCATAAATTCTTCAAAAAGCTCCTCGCCATAAATCTCCATTGGATCATACCTTAAAGCAAAGCATACATACTCCATAACTCCCAATTTAAGGACATCATAAATATTTTATCCCGCATAAGCAGTCATTTATAGAAAAGGTCACATTTATGATTACCAGCATGTGAGATGCATAATTTTTAACACTGCCATTGATCATTACACTGTACCAGAAATGGATACTGTTACCTATTCGAATTGTTTACAATACAGCCGGTCCTACTAACAGATACAATTCTCCGAAAATATTACTTAAATAAAGTCGCCTAATGAGGCATGTCGTAACAAACAATGTTTTTTTTTTAATAGGATTGGGTGACAAACGAGCACACAGTCCACCTGATGGTAAGTGGTTGCTGTGGCCCATAGACATCTATATCTATCTCAATAGAGACTCAAGATGCAGATGCGTTGTCACCCGTGAGGACTAAGATGGAATGCCTCGTTGCCAGTAAAAAGGGTCTCCGGTTCTCTACACTCACCATACGAAACACAGCAGCGTTAAGCTGCTATTTCACGCTGGTTTTCAAAATGTCGTAAAAAGCAGTGTTTTTTATAAAACTATCATTTTGCATTCAGCCGGGACCTATTATTTTGGTCAATATAACCGATATGTTGTTCCAAATGATGTTTCTTTCTGATCGACTTGACTCACTGGCACTGTGTAGAGATGTTGCATCTTTTTTCGTATTTTATCGCGGGGAGTGCTCTGAGGAATTGTTCGGACTAATTCCAGCCGCTCAATTTCACCATCGCACATCGCGACAAAACTCGCGATACCATCCATACCATCTGTGTGATTGGCGGTCCACCACAGTGCAATTTAGAAGAAGTTTTCTTCCTCGCACAACTTCCTTGTGGAATCGATTACCACCGGCGATTTTTCCGGACCGATACGACTTAGGGACCTTCAAGAAAAGAGCCTACACCTTTTTAAAAGACCGGCAACGCATCTGCAATTCCCCAGGTGTTGCAGTTGTTTATGGGCGGCGGTAGTCACTTACCATCAGGTGAGCCGTATCCTCGTTTGCCCCCTCTCCTATAAAAAAAAATGTTGTCGTAAACGGTTTTAACTGTATATTAACTTATTTTGTTTTTACTTTTTTAAATGTTTTATTTAATATTGTTAATACTTATGTCTAAACACTAACCTATGTTCATTAATAAAATCCATAGCATCCCGTATTGTATCCCTCATATACTGGTCCAACTCTTTATACAGGTCCGGCAAATTGTCCAACGAGAGCTGCTTGCCAAATTCTATTATAACCTCTTTTGGTTTAGCTATTGTTGCAGATAACCTAAAAGATTCGTAAAAAAAAATATTATAATTATTTTTTTTAAACTTATTTTAGGCCAGTGCCTACTACAATCCCACCCGGTGGTAAATGGTGATGAAGTACTATATAGTAAATCACACTGTTTTAGTGTAACGAAAGAATATACACTCTTATTTGAAGAAGCCCAGATTGCAATCTTTCGGAAAGACCGAAGCCGGCAGATAATAATATTATTATTATAGATTCTTCGTCACTTCTTCTTCATATCCTTATGCCAAATTGACAGACGTGCCGTGATCTCTTCACTCACTCTTTCCTTACACATTCAACCCTAAGCCCTAACCCAGTTCATCCAACTTTTCTTAGGCCTCCCTCTACTCTTATATTCATCCACTTCCATAGCCCATAAAAGTCCGCTGTTTGCATTTCTGCTGGTAGGGTTTTGCGTTTATTACCATCCTTAGGTGGACAGGAAATTGCAGCACCAGACGTGAGCACCGAGAATGAGAGTGTAGGTAAAGGTGCGTGTAGTGTCGACAGAGGGAAACAAACCAGGAGATGAGAAGCAGCGTCTTCCCAATTACAGCTAAAAATTAAAAAACTGCAGTTGCCAACCGTCCTGCCAAGTGTGGCAACTAGGCTTGGGCAAAGATATCGATATATCCCAATATCGATATATATCGTCGAGATTTAAATCGCGATATATCTATATTTGTTTTAGAGTATCGGATTCGTATCAATTCCAATATATTTTAAAATTTTGTATTAATGACAAATCATATGTGGTTGGTTGTCGTTTTTTTTTTCGTCGTCCACCTGTAATTATATAAAAATTTGAACCTTACCTTTACATCATACAAATAATGACAGATATATCGATATTTATCACGCGATATATATCGATACTGTTTATAAATATCGATTCAATATATATATATATATATATATATATATATATATATATATATATATATATATATATCGATATATTTTTCCCTCGCTCATCCCTAGTGGCAACTACGGCCAATGTCCCCATATGATTCTTCAGATTATATTAGATTTCTATCTATGGGGCAGGGCCTATGTCCCTAACTCCACTACTGGACTTTGGTAGGCTCTGACAGTAACGGTAAGGGTAAAGGGGATGGCAATACCGTCAAGAAGACCGATATGTCATTCCCATTAATTTCCTTGGGTTTCTATTGGCGTTAACGATTGTAGAAAGTCACCTTGGCAAAACACCACTGTACCACTAACAACAATGAATAACAGATGAAGTAACGGGTGGGCCAGAAAGGAGTACGATTTTAAAAACACTCTTGCGTTTGAAGCTTTAGAGGGGACTGCGCGGGTGGTGGGGTTAAGTAGGTCGGTTCTCGGAAATTTAGTCGCGATAGATCACTTCACGGGAGCGCAACGTGCATTCTGCGTTAAACATTATTATAAAAATCACGATTCGTGCGCTATTGTTCGGCGTTTATTTCGACGTGAGTTTGGATTACATGACCTAAATCAGTGTCCGAAGGAAAGCGTGATTCGATCGTGGGTCAGAAAGTTCGAAGCTACTGGTTCGACTCTCAAACAGAAGCCTGCGGGACGCCCAAGATCAACAAGAACGGAAGACACAATTGAACAAGTTAGAGCTTCAGTTCAACGTAATTCTGCTCTATCGACTCGAAAGCGTTCAGCCGAACTTGTGGTGTCCAGAACATCTTTGCGTCGCATTTTGTTGAAAGATCTGAAATTGCATCCGTATAAAATTCAACTTGTGCAGGAATTACAGCCAAATGATCCAATTTTAAGGAGAGCTTTTGTTGTAACGATGCTGGAACGCTTTCAGAGTTTCAACAATATTCTGTTCTCCGACGAAGCCCATTTTCACATAAATGAGCAGGTGAATAAACAGAATTGCCGTTACTGGGCTGCAGAGAACCCACGTGCAAAACATCAAAAGCCTCTACATTCGCCGAAAGTAACCGTTTGGGCGGCCATGTTAGCGCACGGAATTATCGGACCCCACTTCTTCGAAAATCGACAAGGCCAATCTGTCACTGTAAATTCTGACCGATACATAGCCATGTTAAGGGATTTTTTTCTTTCCACAACTGCAACAATTTGAAGCCTATAATCGTGCGACATGGTTTTAACAAGATGGCGCGACATGCCACACAGCTAATGCCTCTTTGGCGGTCGTAAACGAGATGTTTGGTGAGAAACTGATATCGCGCCGAGGTGACATTGAATGGCCTCCTAGAAGTCCGGATCTTACACCACTGCACTTTTTTTGTGGGGATACCTAAAAAGTAGAGTCTACTCCAATAACCGAGCCACAATTGACCAGTTGAAGACCAATATCCGGAAAGAAATGGCAGATATTCCCCGTGCAATGTGCCAGCGAGTTTTTACCAATTTGAGGTTCAGATTCGAAGAATGTTTGCAGCGCGATGGTGCACATCTGGATGATGTTATTTTTAAGAATTTCCCAGATGTAAATTTTTGTAGAAATAAAAATTTGTATGTGAATTGTACTTAGTTTTTTTTTAATGATTTTTTCAAATTCGCAATTCTTTCTGGCCCAGCCTGTATAATTATATATCGTCGTATTGAAGACAACTCGCTAGTGTTGTGACTAAGCATTAAGTTGGTTCCATTCGTGCACGGAATAAGTATTTGTATGACCGACCGATAAACCGATAATTGTTCCGGATTTTGACGCATTTCCATTTCTCCTACAGGCGTTTTACATACAATTTATGGAAACAAATTCGTGTACTGGGGATAACACTTTTTCTACCGAGTTCAAAACGGAAACGGTACTCAATTGGACTGTATGTTTTTTATGTGTGTTACCTCATAACTTTTTACTGGGTGAACCGATTAATATGATTCTTGTTTTATTTGAACGCTGGTGCTTCACATGTGTTCCCATATAAATTTGATCAAGGTCTGACCAATAGTTTTTGAGTTATTCTTAATAATTTATATTGAAGTCAGTTGTACAAAATTTTTAATTATTAATTAAAAAGTGAAAAAAAAAACAAGGTTACCTTTTGCCGCCATCAATGTCTTCCGCTAAATCCATTTCACAGTTCAAATCATTTTCCAGCTCTTCGATTTTCCAACCTAATTTCTCGTACATTTCGAAATCATCAACATTCTGATAATCACCTATACTATATTCCTTATTTTTAATAACAACCATTGAATTTTCTGCACTAACCACAGTTTCGTTATTTTCATCGACTAATTCTTTATTTTCATTTACATTTTCTATGGTTTCATTTTTATCTATTACCTGATCTGCATTAACTATATTTGTATCACTAATTTTATCATCTTCTACATCAGACTTATCTTCTCCCTCTTCATTATTTTTAACAACGTTTTCTAATTGTTCATTGTCATTACTTACAGATGTGAATAACGGATAGGTAAGAGCTAATAATCTGGGCCGACTGCTCTCCTCGCATTGCTTGTAAAGGTTCATTACCTGTAAACATAATGGGGAAAATACTATTTACATATAGTTCATCATTATAATGACAGCCCATCCAAAGTCCAGTCCACAGCTGAACAAATGAATGTCACTAAGTACGGCCCTGCGCCACCTGCATCCATCGACTTCTTGAACGTTTTATCAGGTCGTCACTCCATCTAATGGGGGTCGCCCAACACTGCGCTAGACTTGGTCTGCTCTTTCGAGAATTGTTATCCTCATCGGTTGTCAGTCCTTTTCTTATATTATTTTATTACATTCACTAATTCATTCGTTTATTACAGCCCTTCACAAGTTATTCCTCTTCACAAGTCCTGCTGAACATAGTCCTTCCCCAATTAGTGCCACATAGCACATTCCTGAGTCACCTGCATCTATTGACTTCCTGCATGTCTATAAGGTCGTCACTCCATCTAGTGGGGAGAAGCCCTATACTTCGCCTACCGGTACGAGATTGCCACTCGAGAACCTTTTTTCCTCATCGGTTGTCGGTTCTTCGAGCTATATGACCGGCCCATTGCGACTTCAGCTTACTAATCCCTATATATTATTACATACTTGGACTGATCCTCGGACGCTCATTGCTCGCGGTAAATTATATAAAGCTCGGTTCAGTCCATTGAGTGTAGCAGATTTATCTGTGGTAAGCAAAATTAAAACAAAGAAGTAGAATTTCATCAAGATACACCGGAATTCCTCTGCATTGTCCACTCAACAATAAATAAAGAGTGTGTCTCGAATTCGAAATGTTTATGTTTACTATTTTTTGTGTAAATCTATTTTTTTTGGATCCTAGGATCTAGAAAAAACTGAGTAGTTGAAAATTACTTAAACTTACATATTTCAAGTCTTCATCTATAGATATTAAATGACAGCTATCAATAACCAAGACATTTATGACTGGTATACTAAGCAGACCCTCCCTTAAAACTCGCTGAAGAGTGTTCGATGTGCACACTATGACCTGGAAAAATAATTACTATTGAATAATTTGTTTATGGCTGTGCTCTAGTTATCTGTCAAAACTATTTCTTTAATTCCAATTTTGTGAACTGCAAAGTTTGTTATAAGGCTTAGAAAACATTTATCATTGATTAAAACAATCAACTTTGCTACTGATGTATTTAAAATATAATGGTCCTAAATGTGATTCTAGAGGTACTCCAGATGTTGCTAAAATTAGATCAATATTCAAAATAATAGTAATTATAATTTTTGCATCATTTGTACACAATACTAAGCTACTTTGTGAATTCCCTATACATATAGAATTACCGTTACAGCCTATTAAAGTCCACTGCTGAACATAACCCTCCCCCATGAAGCAAATACAAAGAGGTGTTGTAATTAGATTTCACATGTTAAGCCCTGCCCACTTTACACTATCTACATCTACCGATAAATAGTAAAACTACGAATCGTTCCATATCGATGTTGCAATGTAGTTTAGGTACCTTGACGATAAATGGCGGCCTGTTCACAAAATGATCATAAAACCTATAAAAATAATATTTTGGTGATCGAAAATTCTTTAGGACTGAATGCAAAACAAATTTCAGCACGTTCGTATGATTATTTTACCAGTACTGATCTCTACGTACATTTATATCTTTAGTTCACATGACACAAAGTGCCGCCATCTAGTGTCGAAAATATTTAATTATATTTGAAAGCCGACGCAAAGAGATTTTTCTAGAACTATTTTAATTATGAGGTTTACTTGACGATAGATGGCGGCCTGTTCACAAAATTTCACAAAAGTTCACAAAACTAAAAAAATATATTTTGGCGATTAAAATTTCTTTGTCTGAATGCGAAACAAATTTCAGCACCTTCCTATAATTATTTTACCAATACTGAGCTCTATGTACCTTTATATTTTTATTTCACATGACACAAAGTGTCGCCATCTAGTGTAGAATATATTTCATTATATTTGAAAGCCGACGCAGAGATTTTTCTAGAACTATTTTAATAAATTAGGTTTAAAATTACTTATAAGTGAAATGTGATGCCATCCATAGCATCAGAGCGTCTATCCGAGTAGTTTTTACATGATAAAACACAACACTTCATCGTTTTCTTCTCAATACTACAAAAAATACACCGATTTGCGATTTTCAACATATAAGCGCACAGGACGAATGCTGACAGTACACTAACTAAAGCCACGCCCACTATGATGACGTCAGGACCTACTTAGAATCACAGTGCATAGTTGCTTATGCCGTCTCCTCTTTATATTTGCTTCATGCCCTCCCCCATATATTGGGGGTATATTTGCCATTGTTGCCACGCTTAGCAAGCGGGTTGGCGAACGCAGTTTTTATTTTAGTAGTTATTAGAAAGGCGCTGCTAACCATCCACGGGATGATATTGGGTAGTGGATTTTCGTACACCGTCGCTACACGGCATAGAGTACATTCATAAAATTGTACGCAAATTTTGCAAGCAAATGTGAATTAAAAAATATAAAAACAAATTAAATGAAAGGTCAAAAAGTTGTGTTCTGTTACAACACGGATTTACTTAGAAATTACCTCTTTTTCCTCTAACTGAGCACTCCAATCATCGATATCTTCGTACTTTACACTCTGTCCTATGGCAAGGTCTGTTAAAATACTCAATTCGTAGGCTACGTAGGCAATTCGAGATGCTCTCGTTAGATAGATTGATCTTTGACGACCCTCGCTTAATAACCTGAAAAGGATGTGTAACAATATTAGCTAAAGTACAAATTGTTCTCCAGCTCAAAGATCCAACTTTCCAACCTAACTTTTCGCACATTTCGAAACCCTACACTATATTCCCTATTTTTAATAACAACCGTTGAATCTTCTGCACTAAACACAATTTCGTTGTTTTTACTGACTAATTCTTTATTATCATTTACATTTTCTATGGTTTCATTTTTATCTATTACCTGATCTGCATTAACTATATCTGTATCACTAATCGTTTCATCTTCTACAACAGACTTATCTTCTCTCTCATTTTCATTATTTGCAGATGATATGCTATCCAGACGGTCAATAGGCTAACGATAAATTTTAAGTTTTTGCCCAATCCAAAACTCGTTATTACTATTTCTCCCTATCGCTCTAGCACCTCTCATTCTTATCAATAAGTCTTTACTAGGTCGCAGTATACAGGGCTAAACATGTCGGCACACCGAGATAACTCCCCAAAGTTGCTCGCAACATCAAGGGACTGCTGAACTTCAACGAGATTTCATGGCACACACAATTGTAATATTCCTGCCCACACGCAAAATACGGTGCTTAGACGTGTAAATGCAGAAAATACTCCATCGTAAACTTCACTACACTTGGTACTGTTTACTTTTAGCATAAATCTTTTACTTATGTATTATACTGGGCTACAATTATTTACTTATTTAATCTAACCATTTTTTACTACATATTGCAAAGGTGACAGCTGTGATATGTCAGGCTGCTTGCGAAATAATACATTGAGATACTGTTGCTCCTCACCCGCGTATCTTGTAGGCATCTTCGTACAATAGTCTGGTTGTTACAAAGGAACAGTGTTCTGTTATAATGGTGTTCTTCATACTGACCACCGCAGCAAGTCTGGCTCCGCCCTCTGCTGCGGTGAAGCGTGAACCGCATGTCTCCATATCCTGTAGCATAATTAAGTTTCGATTAAGCTAATTTTACGGATTTTATAGTGTTTTAAGTTAATTTATTAATAATTCTCTGTAAATGTTTCTAACAGCATAGTGGCTAAGTAAGAATATCTACTACCCCATTACGTCCTGTGGGTGTCGTAACTAAAACAGGAGGTGGACAGTAACATCTTCCTGATAACACAAATTTACAGAAAAAACTTTGGTTGCTAACCCGTCAAGCATAGCAACTATGGCAAAATACTCCCTAAGTGGATATCTATGGGGGAAGCCTATGTTCAACAGTAGACTTCCATAGGTAATGGATGGATTAATGTATCAGCACCAGGTCACAGAAGTAAGCACCGAAGCATCATGTATTAAAATAAGTTATAATTATAAATATTAAAACTACATTCATTCAATTTGTAGTATTCCTGTAAATAGAATGAAGTTTTATAGTGAATATTTATTTTTGTATACGCAGAGCACTTATCAATTTACATCATGTTGAAATGAATCTATGGCCCGTATTAATAAACGTTACTCAGCTCAAGGACACGCACTTGAGTACAATTTTGAGGCTATGATCTTATTAATAAACATATCTCAAGATGCAGTTTAGGTTTACGATATCAGCGGAGTGCCACACTGATTAATAAACGAAACTCAACTCTCAAGTGTGTGTACTTGAGTGCAAGTCACAGAACAATATTCCTAAGTACAGCGTTTTGAGATACTGTTTTTATGTTAATTAATTAGCAACGATCTTGAGATGCTGATATCGTAATGAGGGCGTATGAAATGATTACGCACTTGAGTTTGTCGTTGAGTAACATTTATTATTACGGGCCTATGTCAACTAGTGTGTAATTAACTAGTTTGTAGTGAATTTAAGGGTTTTTGTACAGGAAGGGTCATTGGAAAAGGCAGAACAACATCTGCTTGGCCAGCTAGTCATTTAATAAAAAATTATGTAGATTTTGGTATTACTTGTTGTTTTTCAGAAGTTTTTCATACTTAGAAATAAACTGAAGAAAAGTGCTTCTGGATCATTATTTTGGCCAGTTTGTACGTTGGATCATTTCTGCACAAATGGTCCAACTTTTTTTAAGTGCCAATGTTATCTCCATGTCATGCTACCTACTGATTAACAAAAAAAGTGTGAGTGACTGATTACATGGCAGAGCCACACTGCAGCTATATTATGGTTGTAACATGAATGGGTAGGCTCGAACACGGTAGCACCACACTCTCACAGATTACTAGTGTAAAATTGTAGCTCTATAATATTGTGTTTCGTATTGTCAGTGTAGAGAACCGGAGACGCTTTTACTGGAAACAAGGCATTCCATCTTAGTCCTGAGGGGTGGCAATGCATCTCCAATTTGATTCTTAATCGAGGATAGATGTAAATGTTTATGGGCACAGCTTCCACTTAACATTAGGTTGACTGTGTGCCCGTTTGTACTTATTATTCTATAAAAAAAAGAAGACAGAAATTCTATCTAAAAAAAAGATAAACCCAAAATTCTAACTAATTTCTTTTTGGGCCAGAGCTTGACCACAAACCCACCTGGTAGTAATTGATGATAAAGCCCTATATGGTAAATTGCACTGTCTTAGCATAATAAATCCTTTAAATCATTCATTCATTCTAGCTATAGGGAGGTCTATGCTTGGAGTATCTCCCCTTTTGATTAATATTGATTAATATCGATCTAAGTCACTGGAGTCAAAATACTTTCATAGCAGGGATGAATGATGAACAAACAATTAAAACTGTTCATCATACTTTCATTGGGAATAATTGGGATATTGCCTATGCATTTAAGGTAAGCCATTATCATTTTAGTAAAAATAATTTGATATTTAGAGGGTAAGAGATGATACCAGTATTACAAAAACAGATAGATAGATAGTTGTAGTCAAGTTATTAAATTTTTTTCAGGAGTTCCTTGTTCAGAGCGGCATCAGAGGCAGCTGAACTAAATGGCGCAAGTATTAGTAGTATAAGAGTTTTTGAGAGACAACTTCATATTTTATTTGTAGTGACTATCGATCCGTGGGGTCCATGTGCAGTGAAGTTCCTAGAGGAACTGAATCTGAGACCTAGTAGTCGCTGCTAGTAATAAGAGGGCTGGTCTTACCTAGCTAAAAGGCCAATTGGACATAGTAATACAAAAACGTTTCAACCCACAAGACATTCAAAAATGAGTTAAATATGCAGATCTACTTATTTTGACATATTTGCAAAGATGTCAAAATAAGTACATCTGTAAGTACATCACTCCCATGACTGACTTGACATTGGCAAAATTCTTTTAAGAGAAGCCAAAAAGTAAAGAATAAGAAGAAGAACTCATTTTTGAATAACTTGTGGGTTGGAATATTTTTGTATAACTATGTCCAATTATAATCATTCAGCAAGGAAATGCAGCCATCACACTTGGCAATATACCGAGAGTAGGACTGTATGATAATTTAAGTTGTTAGTTTTAGGTTTTTTATTATGGTTATAAATGTATGTATTCTGTACAAAATTAATAAATTTTGTATTTACACTGTAAAAAGTGTAGAGTGAATTCAGAGTGAAACTCATCACGACGACCAACGGAAATGGCAAAACATCGCTTGTCGAGCCAGCTAGTACATATAGAACAAACTTACATAGTTTTAAATGTTATAATCTTAGATTAATAAAAGAGAGGTTATTTCGGAAAGAAACAAAAACAATACTTACAAGAGCGATTATTACCCGCTTTTAAAAAAGAATTCTTTCGCATCCAAATATAAGATACACGTACATTAATATTTCAAGCATTACTAAGTCCATTTAATATTTAAAAACAAGTAAGGAATTATGGAAAAGAAAGGAATATGCCCGCAATATAATGTAAATGACAATTTTACACGCTCAAAAGAAACGACAGATCTCATAATATTGGAACATTTTATTTAGATATTTAGCTTCAAAACTACTTTGAGCTGCTCGTCTAATAAAGAAATATGATCAAAAAGTCAAACTTTGTTGCTGTGCGACCATAGATAAATATATTATATGCACTATGCACAAGCTACTGTCAAGCTGTCATACAACATTCACAGAGTATAGGTGACTTTAAATTAAAGAGTATAGTAGTCCTGCAAGCTTACTCTTGAATCCAATACCAATTTCGATCCTATGTCAATTTCAATCCAATGTAATTCCAATGTTGACAAATTATCATACTCTCGAAAACAATTTTGTTAACATTGGATTGAAATCGGTATTGCGCTACTATTGGCCAAAAATTTTGTTATAGCACGTGAAGTTAGCTGCAATACTCTTAGCAATAGGAATGTTTTATTTATCGTTAAACCGGTGAAGTCATAATAAACCCTTTGTAACTTTCAGTTAAGTAGTAAAAACATTTACTAAATGATATAATTCGTCAAACATAACGTCTTTTTACTTATTTTTTTATGAAAAATCGCTATATTTGCGAGCCTTAAAAATTATATGGCTGTATAGAGCGTGCCTTTTCCTCGTTTCTTTTGTTCTCTCAGAAAAAAATTGTTATCACGACATAATGTAAACAAAGATCAACTTTTAATTTTGTTTAAAGTTTAATGGTGAAGTGCTTTTTAAGTATGTGTGAATTACTAAAAGACCTTTCAATATGGGTATAACTATAAGCAGTTTGGAATAGTTTATTGCCGTAATAACACGGCTTGCCGTCCAACTTTCAAGTACAGTAAAGAATCTTATGAAACAGAGGAAATGGACACCCATCTCTTAGCTGGGTTCAGCATAGCAATTTACAGCAGAACTGAAAATCCACCCATTTTGTCAACATTAGACAAGGAATTGATAGCAGTCATAGGTGGTCAAGTGTAGCTTTTGGAGACTCAACTTTCAATCGACCTTTCTCACCACTTAGTTGTTATCAATAACTATGTTATAATTCATTAACTTTTCAATATTTTTGTTTGACATATAATAAGAATAACTTTACTTTTCCTCAGCTTTATAGACAAACTATTTTAATATTGTTATATTTATTTTAGGAACATCAAATTTAAAGGAAATTCCTAAGGAACTTGCAATGAGTATGCCTTGCACTCAAGTGATACAAAAAGGTAACCCACCATGTTTTAATAAGAAAAATTTACATAAGTTAATGTCATACATTTTATTTCTTAGTGTGGAGAATATAGTTGTTTCAAGAAATCTTAAACATTTTTTTATATGGCTTGTGATGGTTTCAAACTTTCAAATCAAACATTCCATCTTAATTTTGTCATTAATTTATAATACATTACTTCACAGTGATGGGATGCATTTAAATGTCTGAAGCCTCTGTTTTAAAATATTTGTTATTTTAATTCAGAATCACAACTTAATTCCATACCACATTCCCCAAGCAACAACACTGTACCAACAAGAAATGATCAAGATATGGAACATTTGAAAAGAAAGTAAGAAGCAAATGCAATGTACCAAATTGCCAGGTCAATTGAGGGTTATCAGCAGTTATTAATATTGCCGTTTTAATTCTTCCAAACAATACAACAACAATAGCATTACTGTAATTTAAAATAAATAAGACTCATCAAATTTTATCAATGTTTCCATGTTATTTTAAATTCATTTGTTTTCTTTTAATTTCTGTTGTAAAATAAACTAATTTTTTAAATATAGTTTTCACTGTTATATAAAAAATTTAATTTATAAATTTAAGAACAGATACATACTAATGATGAAAGATTAATTAAAATATTTCTTTATTAAATAAATGGTTAAGCTTTGTATCATAGTTTTCTTAATAAATCCTTATTAAAATTACATTACCTATATCATTTTATTTTTAATACTTACAAAATCATACATTTAATGTAACTTAATATTATATTCATATTTCCTACATGTGAAATCCCCCAATAAACCTCTCAGTAATAAGAATAGACCTCTGCCCAGCAGTAGGACATATAATAATATAGCCCCTTTATTTCCATAATGAATGACACAA